GTTCGGAGATTTGAGTGCAACAAATCTGGAAAATAATGGAAATGTGCCGATGATAGTTTTACAAGCGGAGGGGAAGTCCAAATTTGGTCATTGCAGATAGAGTAAATATATTTCTTGACTGATTTAAATATGTTGTTTATATTTTCTCTGGTTTCCTTTGTTGTGTTGTGATGGGAAATATTTTAAAGGGCCCACGTTATGCACATTTTTATCTATGTTATAATGTTTCCTCATAGAACCATAACATCTCCATGGCGACCTTTAAACGTACATTGTGTAACTTTTCTGGTGGAGGGTCCGTCAAATGCTTTTCTCCGTGGAGATGTTGTTGCTTTGTCTGGAACGTTTCTCAGTGTGGTATTAAACCTTTTTATCTTCATAGAGACCAAATCAGACCAGGTTACAGGTCAGATCTGTGGAGCGGCGACCCAACTCACAGTCAGAATATTTGTTTTTCTAGGTATTTTTGAGCGAAAACCACCTGTAACTGGATAAACGTACGGTAAAACTGTTTAATCTCATACTGTGGAATATTCCAGGCAGAACAATGATATACCCCCAACCAAAAAGTTACATAGTGCACCTTTAATATCCAAAACGTTGATCATTCATGAATTATAAAAAATAATAATTATATAGGCATGTAGAATAGCTCTTATAATGTCTGATACAATCTTGTTAGCAATGAAGATTTAGCACATGATGTTCACTCCAAACTCAAATTAAGACATTTCATGATTTTAAAAAGGCACATCACGACAGCTTGCATCGCCAAACAAACGGATAAATTATTAAATGTCAAAATTGTCTCTTACAAAAGAAATAAAAGGTATTGTTACACTTGGTTTTGTTCAGCCTCTTCCTCATTGTACATTCAAATATGTGGCTTCCATAAAGATTTAATAGGAGAGGCCAAGCCAGAGGTTAAGCAGCTGCTCTGGGGTATTATAAAGGGCATTATAGCTTTTAAATGGTCTCTCATTTTGTCCAACATTTCAAGGTTTTAAAGAGACTGGACCTACTTTTATTCTTTTTTGTTTTGGAAACAAATTGTACAGCATATCGTGCCTGTTCCTTCACTAGGAAAGTTCCACTGTGTATCTTTTATAGAGGGAGGTTCACCAATTGCTTGTCTCTATTGAAGTGCTTTTACTTTGCCTGGAATGTTCCACTAGCCAGGCCGGCGCCACCTAGTGCCTCTGCTCAATTTCATTTCTCTCCAGTGACTATGTCAGGAATCAGAATACTCAAGACGGTTCGCAACAACCTCAGAAGTGCGAGTTTGGGCACCAGCCAATCATCAAAGAGCCGTATATTCTGTGTTGGCAAGGATTCCCAAGATTGAGGATTGAAAGCTGGAACAAAGAGAATGTTTGGTGAATTTTATCAAGGGGAAAAACGTTATTGTCCTTCTTCCTACGGGATTTGGGAAAAGCTTAATATACCAGTTAGCCCCGTTAGCAGCGCGTTACATACATCACGACCAAATGGCAGCGTTTGGTTAAATTTTAAAAAGTACCTGCCTACCATCGAGCGAACGAATCCTAATGCTGCGAGGTCAGACGGTTTCCACAAACTGAAACCAGCTGATGAACCAGGCTAATGTTCCACAGTATGGCATTAACTTTATTTAACTTGCATTCATTCAATTGCAGGTGTTTTTTTTGGGGTTTTTTTTTTGTACATTTGAAAATGTAAAGGCAGGACTTGCTTATCTCCACGGAAACTGATTAAGTTTGATGTCCTATTGTGGAATATTCCAGTCAAAGCAATGACATCTCCAGGGAGAGCAGCAGGTGGCAGACCCTCCTCCAGTAAAGTGCCGGAGGACACCTTTGAACATGTTTTCTTTGGATGAGAAGTACCAGCAGATTTTATCCAATCAGAGGGGCTTATGGATGAGTGTGGAAACAACCGGCGTTCATAATCTCAGACAATATTGTTTCTCTACAGTCGTTCATATGGGAGATTTACTGTTTAAACATGTGATCCACAACATGTTTGAACCTTATTATTTGTTAAGAATTCCACAAATTAGCCATATTAATACTGTCATTTAAAAACATTCACTTGTGCATGAGTGATCGAATAACTACACTACATTTTGACACTACAATGAAGAAGAGATTCCACCTTAAAGCATTTATGGTAACAGGGAAAACATTAACCTTTGGACCAGCTTCTGTTTCACGTGGATAGACCCAGTTATTACAGACATATCAACCATAAACCTGGTAAAAATATCTGCATTTTGACAGTTTCAAGGCAAAGTCTCCTATAGATTGTTGACCTATTTTTGAACGCTATAACGTCAACTCAATCTAGTAGGTATATTTGATTGAAAAGCTCTTTGAAGGATTGTTTTTTTGTTTACTGGCCACCACAACATATAAAAAACATACAATGCATTCAGTTCTTCCACATTCCTCCATTTCATGAAGAAAAACTGACTGAGCACAGCGGTTTAGTAAAGAAAAGACATTGCACAGATGCCCACTTTAAACCTTTGGCATAACTACAAATTCAATATGTAACTTAATATGAAATGCAAGGACTCTTTCATCCTTGTTTGAAAGTTGTTTGACCTTAAACAGGATACAGAGCGACCTGGTCAAATACACGTTATAGTGTAAAACTTACTCCATTAAACAGACTTGGAGCACCGTGTAAAGCACAAATAAAACTAGTATAATTGTGTTTTTTGTTTGTTTGTGAGTTTTATAATGAGGTTTAATGCTGGCACCATGTTTTAAACTAATATTATTTGAAGGTACACTATGTAACTTGTCTACTTGTCTTCATGTAGATTAGAGATGTTATTGTTTTGCCTAGAATGTTCCACATTATGGTATTAAACTTATATTTAGGACTTAGCTATGGCAACCGTCCTCTGTGATCATAAACAAATTGATTCAGCAATCCAAATCAAAATATTATATCTTTCAAATCAGGAAGGAGTTGTTTGTCTATTGTTTATTCAATAACAAGTATTTTCTATTGCAAAAATACCTGAGCGGGGGACGCCTCTCCCCAGATCTGACATGTAACTCGGCTTGGTGGCATCTCCTAATTTCCCCCTCTGAGATAGTTAAATTTAATGCCATTTTGAGAAAAATTCCATGTGAAGCAATAACATCTCTAAGGAGACGAGTAGATAATGAACCCTCCACCAGAAAAATGACACAGCAAAAAGAGAATTATGAAAAAGAAAATTATAATATAACATTTTCTTTTGCAATTTTGTAAATATATTTTAAAAAAATCCGTACAATAGTGAGTTAAGCGTTCAATTTTGATATTTTGTCCCAATACAATTTAGTGAATTTTTAACACAATAGTATTACATTCAGAAACCAACAGTGCATTCTGTTTTTATGTCAAATTTCCACAGTCCCCCACCAACATAATCACTTTGGTACACACGTATTAATCCTGTGTAATAGCATTAGCTTAATCAAACACGCCTTGCATATTACTATACATAGCGGATTCCCGTTCTGTGGCATGTAACCTTTGTTGTATTTTTGGGGCTTTGCTAAAACGCTAAAATGGCTACTGCTCCTCACAACAATAAGAAAGACGGCATGTGTGTGAAAGCTCATTTACATAGACCCAATCACACCTGTCTATATGCGCCGCGTCAGAGCTCAAGAGGGGAAATGTCTCCTCTCCCCACAAATGTCCAGAATATCCTCCAAATCTGCCAACGCAATACTCGATCTGCGTCGCGTACTGTTATTATTATTATTATTATTATTGTATGTGGGCTGTCATGTGGAGATATGCAAGTAGGTAAGGTCGGCTGAGATTGGCAAAAATGAATCCATACATAATTTTTTAATGATTATTCCAATGACGATACCCGGTCTGTCTCATAATCTGTCAGAAATGAGATAACACATGACTGCAAATGTGGTTCATGAGATTCAAATATGTACAAAATGTGAATTGCCTGTAGTGCAGGAATGTCACTTTATAAACGTATTTGGAAGATTTTTGTTATTTTTGCTGTCGTTTTTTGTCGTTTTATTATAGACAAAAGACACTGCACTACATAATTTTAGCTTTAAAGAAATTGCAATAAAATATATACTTTAAGGTAAGATTCTTTAAGTTACTTTATGGAAGATAATTTGTTCCATCCATGAATTTTAAATACGACTGGATTTCTCACTTTGAATTTTTTAAATCTGAAAAAAGATGTCTGAATTATTTTTATTTTGAATTTTAGTTGCTGAAATTTGAAGTATACTTTTTCAATATGGTTTAAATTTAAAATAAAAAAATCACCTTTTAAATATTCAGCACAGATATTTTCAAGCCCCCAAATTCAAAAGTCAAAATTCAGATTGTGAAATTCGCTGTGTAAAATTTCACAACAAAGATTCACGATGCCAAGGCAGAAGCAATCGATCCTGTGTGAGCGAGAAGGATAGAGGCTGTTTCCTATTGGCCACTCTCATTTGTGGGCGGGGTTTGAAGTTTTGATGAGGCAAATATTGACCAATCAGATCGCTTCACTGCACCATTTCCTCCTTACTAACTTCGATTGATCACTCTTGGCATCTTGGATCTTTCCTGCGAATTTTTTTCACTGCAAATTTTACACTCTTGAATTTGAGGGCTTGAATATATTTGTGCTGAATATATAAAAGGTAACATTTTTATTTAAAATTTTAAACACTTTGAAAATGTACGCTTAAAATTTCAACTAAAATTCTGAATAAAAATAATTCAAACATGTTTTTTCAGAGTTAAAAAATTCAAAGCGAGAAATTCAACTGCATTTAAAATTCAAAATTTGATGAAACAAATTATCTTCCATACTACTTACTCATCTATATGGTAGCTAATGATAAAAGACTATAATTTATTCGCAATATATTACTAAAACTTTATATCTAGCCAAATTTTCAGTTTTAAATATGATGTTGAGCAAAAATAATTGTTTCCAGTACAGTAGTTACGAGGGATGTAAAGATCTCCAAGATAACGATATGATATTGTCACGGTATGAACCTCACGATACGATATTTATTGTGATATCATGGGGAGGCTCACGATTAGAGATGTAACAATATCCATCCATCTTACAGTATGATATTTACTGTGTTATTTTGGAGAGGCTAATATAAATGTAGACTTTTTTGCTTTTAAAATACCATGACAAGACTTCGGTGTGAATAATTTACATCATAATTTCAAGAATTCAAGTCAAAAACATATTTCTTCATGTTTTCTGCACTGAAATGAATCATGGTCTATGTAGTTCCCTCTGTCTTTCTTTAGCTATTGCTGCACCATAACTCTTAATTTAAGTAAAGAGACTTGTGATTTGATGTGTTGTGATGATGCACGATATTATTGTGAGAACTTTGACGACACGATATCACGATATTTCAGTTATTGTTACATCTCTATCATTATCGGCATACAAAACATCATTATCAAATACTAGGGATGTAACGATATCCAAATCTCTCAGTACGATATTATCGCGATATGCATCTCATGGTATGATATTTATTGCGATATTTTGGAGAGGCTAATATAAATGTACACTTTTTTGCTTTTAAAATACCTTGACAAGATTTTGTTGTGAATTATTTCCATCATAATCCCAAGAATTCAAGTCAAAAACATATCTCTTCATGTTTTCTGCACTGAAATGAATCATGGGATATGTAGTTCCCGATGTTTACAAGCTGTTGCTACTAAAAAAAACATGCATTTAAGCAAAGGAAATTGTGATTCGATATATTGTAACACCGCATGATATTATTGTGAGACTTTTGACAAGATGATATCACGATATTTTGGTTATTGTTACATCCCTATCAAATATATATTTTTCTCATATCGTGCAACTCTACTCTGACATGCCTTTAAACTCAAAACATCTGAATTTTTTATGGGAAAAATTTATGTAAAATCAACTTTTAGAATCTACGCAGGCTTAAATATTGGTGGGACTATTGATGTTTATATATATCTTCATAATTTGTGAATGTGCCAAGCGTATTATTCCTATCTTGACTTCCTGTTTGCTGTCATGTTGTGTGTACAGTGAAGCGAGCCAGCCCAGAGAAGGCACCGCTCCATCATTGGTTCGCACAGAGCAAGTGGTTTGGCCTTAGAGGGGGATCTGCGGGGCAAACAATGGCCGCTCTGTGCTCCTCAAGTGCCTTTGGTGTCAGTGACTCTGCAGGCAACTGAGAGGGCAGATCCAAGATGGCGGACAGCGGAGGGAAGGAGTGGAGAAAGAGGAAGAAGAGGAGGAGGAGGAGGAGGAGAGCCCCGCTGGCATTTGACACAGGCTAAACAAGTGCATCTGATCACTTGTGTTTTTGGAGGCAGCTTTTCTTTGGAGATTTAAGGGAAAAATAAAACAGTCTTTGGTCATTTGGAGAGATTTCCCAAAGAGCAGTCTCGAGATCTCTGGTTTAGAGTCTGTAAGTGCCATTTGAGATGAGTCAAATCTTCATCCAGTTTCTACATGACGAGAAAGGAAAAAGATAATTACATTTTTAAAGATCTATGTTTATTTGTTTGGCATGCATGTTAGAGAGTGTTAGTACATCCATGCTGTAAACAAAATGCTTCTGTTTTCACAGTTTCACCTGTGCAAATCTAAGGTAGAGTTTAGGCTGTAGTACAAGTACCGTATTTTTTGGACTATAAGTCACACTTTTTGTCATGGTTTGGGTGGTCCTGCGACTTATATATGAAATTTTTCAGACTGACAGCCACGAGAGGGAACTCTAGGCTTGTGTATCAATTTTCTGCGCATGTCTCCTGCAGAAAAAGTCACTGTCCTGCTGCAAGTAGGAGAAAACGGTAACCGAGCAGCAGAAAGAAAGTTTGGAGTGAGCGAGAAACTTATCAGGGACTGGCAGAAAGCGGGAATGGAGAACATGGCGGGTGCACCATGAAACTTTCCTGGAAGTCACTGGATGACAAAGCATGGTCTCCCGTGACAAACGAAGTTGTGCGGAGTTGCTCAGAAGTGACACCGAGGAAAAAGAATTCAATGGATTTAGTGATTTAGAGTGAGATGGAGAGTTTGGTAAACTTGTTCTGTTCTGTTGTTTATGCTATACTTATCTAAATAACTCTTAATATGTTATGTTAACATATTAACACCTATTCAGTCTGTTGTTCTTTATTCTATTGTTATTATTACTAGAACTTGACGTTCAGGATGAAATGTCGGTTCCTGGTCCCTGATTTTACAACATAAATTTCCCCCAAAAAGTGTGACTTATAGTCCGATGCGACTTATATGTTTTTTTTTCTTCATTATGCATTTTTTGGCTGGTGTGACTTATACTCCGGAGCGCCTTATAGTAGGTGTTTGGGGACATTTTTGTAGTCTCCCAGCGGAAGTCCTCATTGTTCAGATTTGTCAAAGTTGAGTCTGAGTCACAAGTCCTGCCCATTCTAGAGGAGATTTCTTATTATTTTACAATCAGTTCTCACTCAGTGGGATCTACTGAGAATTCTCACTAACTAACCTTGAATTTTAAAAATGTGTTTGTAAAATCACATTAGGAAGGTGGCAATTTACAACTTCTAGCTGTAAATGGCACTATTTTCTGAACCGATGTTTCCTCATCCAAAACATACCCAGAGTTGTGCTTTGGTTCATTCACACATGTTTAACACATAAACCCTGCATATTAAGCTCTTCTCACAAACTAAAAACACTCCAGCTTGTGATTTCATGTGCTCCACTGTGTTTTTAAACTCCATACACCTTCACTAGAAACATTTGGATGATTTCAGCCCTGGAATTGCCAATCAATACTGAACTAAACATGACACAACTCACTGGTTATGTTTTGGATTGGTTAGCAATATTTTAACGTGGCTTTAAATTCACTCTCAAGAGTAAATTTTGCGTAATACAGGACCTTTAAGAGTTGTACAAGAGCACGTGGTGTTTTGTGTTATTTAAGTAAGCACATGCCAAGCACAAATGTGTAAATTAACAAAGTGAACACTGCAGGGCGAGCTGACAACATGAGTGACGGAGACGAGAAAGACGAGAGAGAGAAGAGACAGAAAACACGGGTAGAGAGGCATAGTGGGAGATAAAGAGAGATGAGAGAGACAGAGGAGGCTGGGAGAAGAGAAATAAGGAAAAGATGGGTGGGTGAGGGAAAGAGAGGAGGAGAGAGAGAGATGGGAGGGGTACTGAGGTTGAGGGAGAGAGTGAAAAGAGAGGAGAGGGAGCGACATAGAAAGAAAGATAGAGGGGAGAGAGCAGAGTGAAAGAGAGAAAGGGAGAGAGATGAGAATCAATAAACTGGGGAAGAGAGAAGACAGAGAGAAAAGAAAGAGAGAGAGGGAGAGGGAGGGAGATGGAGTGAAAGAAATGTTTTGTATGTAATAAACGGCGTGACTTACAGTTATTGAGATGACAGTTATACGGCTGTGGAGGGAGACTGTATAAAATGAAAAAAAAAAAAAAAAAAAGACAAGTTTTATTCAGTGTTCATGAGAGCTTAGGCAAGCTACACTGCAAAAATACACACTAGTTAAAGATGCACTATGTAACTTTCCCACTTCCTCCAGCTAAGTAGTCATGACCAAGACTAGCTCAAAACCTGGGGGTGGGTCCAACTCATAGACTGCACATAAATGGACATAGCTAACCTTCTAGCTGCCTTGTTCCAAATAGGAAGTGAGCATGGGGGTGATTCTGGCTCCATCGACTCCTGACTTCTGTCTCAAAGTCACTTACTGTCTACTCTGTAACTGCTCCTTTCAGACTCCTAATTTTGGTCTTCAAATGTTCGTATTAACCTGCTCTACATGATCCTTGTGTTTTGATTTTGCTAATTTGTTTGTAAATAAATTTGTATTCCTAATATGGAACTGGCTCCAAATTCACCCCATAACTGCAAGCGTCGATGAGCTTCATTTGACTGGAGCCAAACACATTCCCTTATTTCACTTCTTTACAGTCTATGGTCCCACTGCTCCTGACAGGTTGCCACAGAGACACTGAAGGCTCTAATGCAGAGACTGAATTTTCCTTGCAAGGGATTAATAACCTTATCTTGTCCTGGTGCCATCGCCTGCTTGTCTTTATGGATATTTTGATGCTGTAACTGTGCAGCATTCTAGACAAAGCAATAGCATCTCCATGGAGACAAGCAGGTAGTGGACCCTGCACAAGAAACATTGCATTCAATCATACCTCGACAACACTACTCAAATCAACTTGTGGATTGAAGTCATTCAAGCAGGGGCTTGATGTGACATTTTTTGCAGTGCGTTGTTGAAATGTGTTTGTGCTATCTGCTGGTGTCCGCAGTCTGTTTGCCGATCTGTCATTTTCTGTTTGCTCGATAAGGAGATGGAGAGAATACGCTCTGTTTGTGAAAAGCAAATTCATTTAGACTCCAGCCATGAGCCACAACCAGGTATTGTTGTGCATATGCAGCCGGGTGAGAGGGCCACATATTCACACTGCATACATATATTTAAACACACACACATATGTATATACACACATAGTAGTAGTATATTTATACACACGCACACACCACATACACACACACACACCACATACACATACACATATTTATATTGTACACACATATATATATATATATATATATATGTATATATTTATACACACAGTATCTATCATTCATATATATATATATATATATATATAGAGAGAGAGAGAGAGAGAGAGAGAGAGAGAGAGAGAGAGAGATCAAAATCTACTTATCTATTATTACATGGATGTTTGAGTAATCTTTAGTTGCTTATTTTCAAGACGTCATATTTCCGATCAGACACCATTTGCACTGCTACCAGCCCATTCCTCTGTACTTACTTCATTCTCAGATTTAATTTTCCTAATTGGTGATACACGTAGGATTTGGCATTGTAGCATGGTCTTATTGGTACAAATGAAAAAATAAATAAATAAATAAATACACTACTCGCTAATGTGATCTACAAATTAGCAGACTTGTTTCTCTTATTAATTAGTTTTAAATAAATGTTGCAAATAATAATGACATAATGATCCATGGGTGAATATAACTATATAACCCACACAAGCACAACATGTGTTCTTAATGGAAACCATTATTCAGTGTTTGTGTACATCTGTCAGATTTGAGTTTGGACTAATGTCCAAATGGTGTCAGTGCTCCCACCTGTGAGTACCCTGTGGACCCAGAGCGCCCCCTGTGGTCTCTGCCAGTGTCTCCCTCCTTCTGACTGCCCACAGAGGAGGAGTCTGAGCAGCTACTGTGCACTGCAAAACACACAACAGCACAGATAAAGCACAAAGACTGACTGAACACAGTGAAACTTTATCATTTAGTATGGGCTAAAAGGACTTAAAGTGCACTATGGAACCTGCCTAGGCCTGTTGTCACCATGGTAATGTTTATTTGTCTGGAAAGATCCTCAGCAAAGCATTACACTTATTTAGGTCCATGGAAACAAGCAGGCTAAGTTACAGATTAGATCTGTGGAGAGGTACAGTGTGTGTTTATGGAACACCTTTCAATGATTCACCGATACTGATGCCGATACTTTCGCTTTAAGTATCTGCTGATACTTGATATCGACCGATACCAGGGCAGAGAGTGAAACTATGATGTATGTCCTTTAAACACAAACAGTTTGTAGTAAATAATTAATAATTATCCAAATGTGTTTTGCAACTGTTATTTATCATATAAAGTAAGAACAGCTCATGAGGTGTTTGGGCCGACACTGGCCCGTAAATCATTTCATTATATCCAAAACTTGGAAATCGACTGAAGCTATATCTTGAAACCAATATTCAATCCATCACCATCAAAATTTTCAATACTGGTGCTGATATCTAATATCAATATCGTATCGGTACATCCCTAAGACCTCTGCTTGAATCAATGCAAGATAGATACTTTTAATGCCCTACTTTGGAACATTTATTTTTATTATTTTTTTTACAGTGTACTACAACTGCAAACACATATGGTGTTTAAATCTTGTGATTTAAATGTACAAGTCAAGTGTAATGATTCGTGGGAATTTTGTCAACAAACGAGATGAGATGCTGGCGAGACAAAGGGAGCGCGCAGCCAAGTGAGGAGAGAGAGAAGGAGGGAGAGAAAAAGAGAGAAACAGGGAGAGTGAGAGAGACAGAGAGAGGGAGAGAGACAGAGAGAGGGAGAGAGACAGAGAGAGAGAGAGAGACAGAGAGAGAGAGAGAGACAGAGAGAGAGAGAGAGACAGAGAGAGGGAGAGAGACAGAGAGAGAGAGAGAGAGAGAGAGAGAGAGAGAGAAAAGTGAGGGAGAGGAGAGTAGGCGGGTAGAGAGAGACAGAGACAGAGACTGGGGGAGAGAGAGAGAGAGAATAGAGACAGTGAGAGGAGAGAGAAGAGGAAGGAGAAAGACAGAGAGAGAGGGGGAGAGAGAGAAAGGGAGAGAGAGACAGAGAAAGAGAAGAGAGGGAAAGAGAGAGGCTTTTTTTTTCCCCCAATCTGCTCAATGAATTTGTAGCAGGGACAGAGAGCAGGGTTTGGGGGGGGAGCTCAGTGAGACACCTGGTGAGAGGAGAGGGCATTGCACCTGCTCGTGAATGTCAAATGACTCCAGGGCAGTGCTGGCCTTTTCAGATCTGCACTGAGGGACTGGTGCTGAGCAGGAAGAGGTGTTTTTTTTTATTCATTGATAAGAATGAAGTAGCTAACACTAGTCAAGTTTGTACCATCATAGGGTTTTACGTTTAAATGTAGGTGAAAATTACATAATCAGTGGTCTCAAAAAACATTACAGCAACAGTTAGTTCTTTTTTGGAAATGGTAGGTCACCTGCATGATGAACTGTTTTGAGCCCTGGGTTTACACATTTTCAGAGCAGAGGTCTGTCTCACCTCTTCTGCAAGACTTTTTCACACAATGAGAAGAATTTTTTGTTAAACGTTACAGTTACAGCAGTTACGTGACGATGCCATACTCCCGCATGGAGGGCAAGATTTCCCAATTGATACATGTATCTCTATGTTGGAATATTCTCGCCAGGCTGGCGCCACCCAGTGCCTCCACTTAATTTAATTTCTCTCCAGTGACTAGTTCAGGAATCACAATACACAGGAATCAAGAGCCACGGAAGTTGTAGACTATGCACCGGCCAATCAGAAAAGAGCTTTTGTGGTACAGCACAACAGTAAACAAAGTGGTCGAGATGGGTGTAGACGAAGCCATACATTCTGTGTTGGCAACGATTCCTGAGATCGAGGATTTAAAGCCAGAACAAAGAGAATGTTTGGTGAATTTTATCAAGGGAAAAGATGTTATTGCCCTTCTTCCTACGGGACCAAATAGCAGCGATTGGTTAAATAAAAAAAAGTACCCACCTACTATCGAGGGAACGAATCAGATGATGAATCAGGCTAGGAATGTTCAGCCATGGTGGCACAGTGCATGCATTAGCAAACACTGTCAAAAAAAATGTCTAAATGCGTCTGAGGGAGATTGTTTAACAGCACAAATCAGGTCACTTGTTGTAGTACTTCTTCTAAACTAAATATTCAGAGTGTGTTCAAATAAAACTCAGATTAAAGTATAACAAGCCTCAGATAGAGCAGTGCCTACAGTTAGCATCACACCCCCAAGGAATACTGATGGTGTCAGCAACATCAATTAATGACATTGTACTTGCAAAGTATCAGTTAATTACACTGTACTTCACTGTGAAATATCCAAAATGTAAATTGACAAATGTTGAACCTGATCACTTCTATCAGTGATTAGAACCAAGAGCTCACTGTGTTACAAATAAATCTACTGGATATTTATTTTATGTGCCCCATGTGTATTAAATATTATTGTTGTGATGTCATGTGAAGCCCAGAAGTTCAGCATCATCTTGGAGGAGATATGAAATCACACTACAGTACTAGTATATGTTAAATAATGTTTCTTGTTGTGTCCATGTTTCTACCTGCAGCGTTTGTGTGTAGAAATCCAACTGCATTTGAAGCGTTCATTTGGGAAACATTGTTATAGAACCTGTTGCGGCTAATGTGTGTAGGTGGAGATGATAGCGCTAAATTAAATAGTAAGAGCACCGCTGAGAGCCATGGCTTTATTAAACAGATCTGGCAGAGAAAGAAGTGGGCTGTTACGTGAATGATTAAAAACACTACAGGAGTATTAAGCAGAAAGGTACAACGCACAGAGTGGAAGAGGTTTGACAATGAAGCAAAAACATTTAAGAACGTGTAATCACTACATTTTGCATCTTTATCTATCTCTTGGATTTAACAAAGGGAACAAATGGAGCTGTACTGCACAATGGTTGTCAAAAAGTACTATAACAATACTAATCAATACTTAAACTAGAAACATAAAAGTGCACTGTGTAACTTTTCTGGTAGGGGGTCTGCCAAAAACTTGTTTCCATTGAGATATTATTGCTTTGCTGAAAGGTTTCACAGTGTGGCATTAAACTCATCCAGGTTGCATTTATTCAATTACTGATGTTTTACTGCTCAAAAATCCTGTGAAAAACATGCATTCCTACAGTGAGTGAGCTTGCCTCTCAACAGACCTGACGTGTAACTTGGCCTGGAAGCATTGTGGGCTTAAAGATGGATAATGGTGAGTTTAATGCCACACTGTGAGACATTCTTGACAAAGCAATAACATTTCTATGAAGACAAGCAGGTGGTGGACCCTGTACCGCAAAGTTACACAGTGTACCTTTAAAGAGGGGATGTAAGGTCCAAACATTTGTGAAGCATAGTTGATGGTTTGCACACATTGTTCCAACTTTAAAAATGCCTCAAAAGTGAAAGAATCCACAGAGAGTGATCCAAAACTCTGAGTATTAACATAACTGCGGACATATAAAACATACAAAACACTTTAACATGTAGGTGACAGGAGGTTAAAAAACTGTTTGGCTCCCCTCCCATGGTGCACCTGCGCTCGCTATAAATAAGGAGTCATAGACCACAAAATAATACAAAAAATAAACATTACTTAAGTAAACTTATGATTAACATTAGCAATAATTAATTGAAAGAAAAAATTTAAACAAATCAAATTATTTTAAGCAAATAATTGACAGATAATCATGTTAGCCATAAACCAAAAATTACCTAAATTACCCCGAATCATGCATTTTAAGTAAATATTAAATCAAACAAAATAAGAATAATTATCTCAGTGATGAAAAAAAATTATGATACTAGATTTAGGCTCCAACAGGGGGTATTATGTACAATCACATTTTTGGAGTTTTCAATCCATAACAATGTTTCCTCATCAAAAACATGCCTGAAGAGGTTTTAGATGTCATCCATGCATGTTTGAGGAATTTAGCGATCTCTCTCAAATTCCTCTTACAGTTAGTTGTAAGATTCTGTCCAACGCTCAGCTCCCAAACCTACGTCACCCACGCTCCCACATGACAATTCTACATAAATACACAAAAGCATGAAACAAAACTGTACACAACAAAACCTGATGTGAAGTGTGCTAGTTTCATGAGCGGGATGCACACTGATTGTGTTATGATGGCATTCTGAAGGGGTAGTGACTTAGCATGGAGAGCAAAGGGACACTACAGGCAAAACACCATACCACAAAGTCAAGTTTTTCCAAGCCAAGGTCAGTAAAAACACATGTTATAAGTAAATGCAAGATGTATGTTTAATGCCATACCGGGACATTTCAGACAAAAATAACATCTCCATGGAAACAAGCAGAAGGTGGACCCTCACCAGAAAAGTTACACAATGCACTTTTAAAGCAAATGCGGATATTTTAAAGGATCTGCACCCAATTTTGAACCTTGAGTTAGTTTCACCTACTTCTGTCAAATGCTGGATCATGACAGAAGGAGAAGTGTCTGGGATAGTCCAATTCAGATCCTGTTTATCCCTAAAAAATCCAAGCCTGTCTCCAAACCACATGTTTTTAGTGCCGTGGGATTCACTGTTTAAAAAGCCCCAAGATTATCGTCACCATCTGCACAAAATGTTCTCACAATTCAATTAAAATGTGATTAATTGCACATCATCCTCCTGTCACTCACAACATAACAGTAATACAGTGAAGGTAAATGAAGCGTGTCTTGCTTAAGGACACAACTACGCTGGAATTGAACCACTGACCACAGAATTCACTGAGCCACTGCTTGGAAATGGGAAGTATATAAAATCTTCATACATTTGCTCTGAATCAAACTTACATCATTTTCTTGTTATTTTAACTAACAATTTTCATCTGTGGTATTTACTGTGTTTGATCCGTTTAGGACAAAGAATTTGAAAAATGTCAATGTTGTTTTCTTCTTCAAAACAAAGCCCAAAATTCCAATCAACTAAAGCAATTTTTGAATAAATATTCTTTTGTAAATGCCACAATGGAAAAAATATGTTTCTTCTTTTCAAAGGTTTGAGTGACATCTGCTTTGGATAACAATGTGTTTTTCTACCTCGAGTCCTGTATTGTTAATCAGTTCTGCATAATGCTGTGGAAACCCATCTTTCATTAAAGCTTTACCATGTGACTTTTCTGGTAGAGGGTTTCTTACATGCTTGTCTCCATGGAGATCTAATTGCATTGCTTTGAATGTTACGCAGTATGGCATTATACATATTATGCATATCTCCATGTAGACAAGCAGACCACAGCATCAGACCAAGTTATAAATCAGATCTGTGGAGAGGTGACCCTAGCCAGGCCGGCGCCACCTAGTGCCTCCGCTCAATTTAATTTCTCTCCAGCGACTAGGTCAGGAATCAGAATACACTAGACGGTTCACATAAACCCTGGAAGTGTGAGTTCAGACACCAGCCAATCAGCAAAGATACGATTCCCGAGATCGAGGATTTAAAGCCAGAACAAAGACAATGTTTGGTGAATTTTATCAAGGGGAAAGACATTATTGTCCGTCTTCCTATGGGATTTGGGAAAAGCTTAATATACCAGGTAGCCCCGTTAGAGGCTCATTACATACGTCATGACCAAATAGAAGCGATTGGTTAAATAAAAAAAAGTACCCGCCTACAATCGCGAAAACGAATCCTAATGCTGCGAGGTCAGACGTTTTCTACATCACAGTAAGAATGTTTGTTTTGCAGGTGAATAAACTGTATTTTTAGAGTAAAAAACACCTGTAATAATATAAAGGCAAGATAATCAAGCTAAATGCCATACAGTGGAATATTCCAGATAATGTAATAAGATGTCAGAGGGGACAAGCAGATGGAGGACCCCCCTTCCACTCCAGAAAGGTTACATAGTGCATCTTTATTAAAATTGCATGAATGCAGTGATTACAATACTGTTCTACTGTTGACGAACTGGTGGTCAAATTACAGTTTACCTGGAGTACATATGGTTTCATAGACTTGTAGACTTTCAAATATAATGTCTTAGTTAACAGTTATCAGTTACCAATATTCTTAGCATCACTAAACATGCTATGACAGACACACACAGGACTAGATGAGTTTCCGGGATGTTCTCTCAAAGGAGGCATCAGTTCCAGTAAATTTTAACAAATGAGAAATTTAATCTGGTCACGTAAAACCAAACTCCCTGCGGTCACGGTGAGAAAGAGGAAAACGGTTTAGACTTTCTGTATCAGAGAAAAGATGTGTGTAACTGCAGGGGTTAAGACAACAACGTAGGTATTATATTGAAAAATGTAAAGGCACTTGATTGTTACTGTCTTAAAAAGATGAAAAACAGAACTTCTTTTTTATCGGTTTGCAGCCGTCCAAAGTTATTCGTCAGTGTGATGAGTTTATAAGCACTTTTCAGAACTTTCAGAGTTCTGCTGTCACAGTAATGCTGACAACAACTAGTATGTAACAGTGTACTTCCAGATTATTGAACAATAAAATACTTTATAATTAGATGCAGACAGAACACATACTTTTTGTCCTCTAGAGCACAATATATCTATACTACAGAAAGACAAATGTTACTCAAATACATGGGTAAAACATGGCTTTAAAGGCTTTTAAAGGTTAGACAAGTACTAAATATGGTTAAAGGAACAGTATGTAGCCTGAGCTTTTACAGTTTTTAAAAAAAGGTACTACAATCACATCTGAAGCTGGGTTTCCAGTGCCTTAACCTACAGGTCGAGGACACAAGTTTTTCTCATTCTCAGTTTATGGACAGACCTCATGTTAAAGCTCAGAACCTCCAGAATTCCCTCCCTGAGCTGCAGAGGCTGCACTAGCACTGATTCAGGATTGGCTGCAGAGCTGAGGTTTAGGTAGTGACCATTCAGATCAGAGAGATTTTAGGTTTAAACCAACTGGATTTCAGCACTGGAACTGGCAACCCTTGAGAACCAAAACACCAAATTATGAGTAAAACTTGGCCACTGTGTCCAATGTTTTTGTAACTAAGAATAAATCAACATTAGAATAGTTATCAGTAAAAGTTATGTTTGATTTGAACATGTCTGGAAACAATTAGATCAAGGTTGTGGAATTTAAAATAAAACTCTTACATACAGTTGCTTAAAGGTTAGAATCCAGGAAATAACTGCAATGAAAACAGTGCATATGAATACTCATGTTTACTTCTGCCTTATTTGACACCAGTCTCTTACTATTTCTATCACTTATTTAGAATGTATTAGTACCATTTATATTTTTGCTCTTTGTTATTATATTATATTGTGATGTGTGAGCAACTGTGTCCAAAAAAATTCCCTTGTGGATCACTAAAGTTTGCCTAAGTCCAAGTCTAGCGTTACCTCTGTCACTGAGGGTGCTGATGGAGTCCAGTTCGTTGGCCGGGGTCCCTGAGGCGTCCAGCAGAAGTTTACTGGACACTCCCATACACAGAGACTCCTTCAGACACAGCTCTGAAACACAAACACAAAACAACTGAAATCAAACTATAGGAAGAATTTACTGCCATTGACTAGTGTTTACTTAAAGGTGCACTGTGTAACTTTTTAGCAGGGGGGGTCCGTCACCTGCTTCTTTCTATGGATACAGCTTGCCTTCATTCCATTACAGGTGGTTTTATAGCTCAAAAATAACTAGAAAAACTGCCATTTTTACGGTAAGCTGGGTTGTGTCTCCACAGATCTGACCTACTTTATTTGGTTTGGTCTCCATGATGATAGACAGGTTTAATACCATACTGTGAAATATTAAAGACAAAGCAATAACACGGAGAAAAGCATTCAATTGTGTAACTTTTTCCTCCAGAAAAGTTACACAATCCACCTTTAAGATTCTGGAAATCAATGAGACGTTAAAACCCCACTGTGCAACTTTTCAGCCAAAAATAACATTATAAATAAAAGTTTACATTTTATTGCATTCAAACCTTGACAACAACTGAGTGGGCTTGCATCTCCACAAACCTGACTCTTACTTGGCCTGGAGAAAAGCCTCCTCCAGGGTATTGTTGTTCCTTTGGCTATAATCTTCCACACTATGGCCGAAAGCGTATCTCTCTTCATGGAGTATGGTTTTAACTTTTTATTTCTACTGAAAGTTACACAGTGTTGCTTTAAGTCTTTTGAGCTTGTGGCAAATTCTCTGCTAAACTCAAACTAAAGTAACAAAACATGACATGAGCTGCTTGATTATAAGAAAAACAGTAATCGCAATTATTTTTAATGTAATCAAAATGGCAATTATTTGACTGATGATTCACACAGAGGATTGTTCCCAGATTTATTTGATTTAACAAGTACAGATATATTGCAAAAGCAGCTCTCTCTCTCAATAGAGTAGGCTAAAATATTCTCCCATAATCATAAACATTCAACATATAATTTCAAAATAGATTTCAGTACTAAGGAATAGACTCCATAGTGTTCCACAGTGGTCCATGTGCTCTTGTACTTGTTCTGATACAACTCATGATCATACTAAAGCTATTTTGGAAAGGTTCATTTCTGTCCTGTCAATGTGACTTTTTCATTCTAGTTTTGATACCAGTTTTGGAATCGATTAGAACCTGATTTTTGCTACTTTTGACAACCCTATAGGAGACCAAAAGATGTACATTTTGAGCTTAAAACATCATTTATAAGTCATACATCTAAAATTCCCACAGGCTCATTCACAAACACACAGTATAGGGTGCGATCAGGTCAGATCAGGCTTCATAGCAGAGGAGGAGCAGAGGATCCAAAATTGTACATTGTGGTATTTTGATTACACGGAGATGCAGTTTGAACACCACAAAGAGACAACTCATGTGAGAGAATAACCCCTTGACACGTGACCCTCTCCCTACTGCCACCTACAGACGGAAATGTGGAACTCACGCTGGAATTGAACAAAGTAAATGTTGAGAGGAGAATAGAAAGAATATTCACACAGAAGCCCTTTCACAGTTTTTATCAATATTAAAAAAGTCACATTCACAGGACAGAAATTTACTTTTCCTGAACAGCTTTAAGATGACCTTGAGCTGTATCAGAACAAGTATAAGCGCACATAGACTATCATACACCCACAGAATCAGCATTGAGTATCAAGTCTTTTCCTCTTTCCTGTATTGAAATTGAGTTTGAAATTTTAGCATCGTGACAGCTCTTATACCAGTAGTGAGATTTTGGCTTTAAGTAAGCTTCAATATCAACAGATACCAGAGCAGAGACAGAAAATAGTATTTATTTCCAAAAAATGAAATACAAAAAAAAAACAAAACGATTATAGATATTGTGTACTGTAATTAGGGCTGGGTATCATTAAGAAGTAGCCGATACAATACATATCTTGATACAGTGCAGTTTCGGTTTGATACGATATATTTCAAATTGATTCGATACAGTTCAATAAAAATAATAGCTAAATCATGACTGTGATACTAAAAGATTTTGTTAAACCACTTCTTGTGCAAAGTTCACATGAAAAAAATCCATTTTAATCATCAGAACAGTGAAAATGTCAAATGTGTCACATAAACAAGTTTCCTTCCTCTAAACAGGCAACAAAACTGTAGACTAAACAAAATAATTGGTAAAATATACCAAAAAAAATATACTCTTGGTGATATATCAATACAGCACCCCATGATATCGACACTGTACTCACATTAAAAGATACGATATATCAAATTTTCATTATTTTTGCACACCCCTAAGAGTAATAGTACTATCATACTAAAATTTCAAACTGAATTTCAGTAGTAAGGAAAAAAATCTGATTCGATAACAATACTTACTGTTATATAGATCAAAACCATTTTAACGATAACCCTAAATAATGACAGAACAGCTTCATAGAATTAAATGGGCCAAAGATAAACTTGAAACAAATTTAAAATCTATAACAAGAGCCAAATAACTGAAGTAAGGCTGTAGTAAAGTTCACAAATTAACATTTAACATTAACACAATTAACATTTAATAATAAAAGTATTTTCTGACATAATATCATTTGTTGTGTGACTCAGAAATTTCCATTACAAAAAAAAAAAAACATAAGTATATATTGCAGGAATTAGGCAGATTTTATACTGCTATCAATACTGCTGTTGATATTAAAACAAATATACTGCCCATTCATAGTATCAGTATTGAAGTATCTTACTCAAATAATCACAGCTCCCTAATATTTTTCTTATCCTCACTTTATCTTTCATGCTTTACCAAATAAAATGCTCTTTTGTGTTTCAAATGGTGACAGTTACCCGTCCAAAGAATCCACTTGTCCTATTTTTGGCCCTATTGTTTTGTTTGCATGGAGTATGTGAGGTGAGGACACTACTATTCAAATGCCAAACAGTGCGTGCATTATAAAAGCATTGAGCGAGCATTATACTGCATGTAACTCAGTACAGCGCCAAAGAGCCACACATAAAGGGACAGACGTAAGTGGGAGTACGATGTGATAACCACCTGTTCCTGCGGCCATTAGAAAAGCAGGGTGTGGTCAGATACTGGGAGGGTATTGACAATTTATATTAGGTCTTTTTTATTATTAAAGGAGCTGTGCCAGATTTGACTCTATTAAAGGTCTTATATTACATCAGTGTTGAGCTCCATGAGAAAAGCTCCATAGTTCAGCTTTAGTTGTCCTTACCTGTGTTGTTGATGGCGTGAGTCCAGAGCAGGTGGGCCAGGTCGTGCGTCCAGGCCTCTTTAGCGTCTCTGTCTGGAGCCTGGAGAGTGACACAGTCTTTGGAGCGAGGAGCCGAACGAACCCAAACCTCAAACTTCAAACCATCTTCTCCAACGCTCTGAGTCAAACCCATCTCTCCAGTCTGAAGAAAAAGGCGAAAAAAAATAAATACATTATAGAAAGTCATAATTTAATGTGATTTGGGGGGAAAGGGGTATTTCTCTGTCAATTTATATGTATTCTGTTCAGAGTGATGTCCCGATTCCAAAATTTCAAACTCGATTTCGACAGTAAGGAATACACTTGATACTCAGTACTGCTTCTGATACCATGATGATAATATACACAATCTATATTTAGAAAAGAGAATGTCATTTTCAACATTAGATAATAATATTTTCTTTTCTATTATCATGTGATCTTATATCTGTGTAATCACTGTCAGCTCCACAGTGGTCCAGCGTATACTAGTCTATGTCCTCTTACACTTGTTTTGATAGAGCTCAAGATCATTCTAAAACTATTCGGGAAAGCTTAATTTCTGTCCTGTGACTTTTTTAGTCACAAAGCAAGAAAATGTCAAAAAAGAATAATCAATTTGTAATTTTAATCAATTCAAGCAATCAAGCATGTAAATATTTGTAATTATGTAGACACCTTCAGTCACCACATTTTAATCTTGATTTGGTTAAAATGTATAAAAAAAAACTCAATTTACAATTAAAATAAGTAGTCAACAACTAAAATAACTTAGCCCTGTCCAGACATATTAAAGGAACAGTTCAGAATTTTGGACATAGGGCCTCATTTCCTAGTGAGTCTGAGTGTTGGGAACGTGTGGAGACACTTTTTAAAATATTCCATCCAGTCCTTGTATTTGCAGAGGTCGCTGGTGCTAGGCTAGTGCATGTCAATGGCCATAGTTAGCCTGCCACTAAAAACAGTCTTACCCACTCCACAAAACACCTGAAGCAAATCTATTATTACACCAGACTGTCGATGTGAATGTCTGTGTTGATAGAATAATGTTTGAAATAAAACTAACCTTGCATTGCATGAATTGTTGCATGTTGAGGGATTATATTCTCATATATCAGTCCGCCGGTGCCGAGCTTTCTATCAGGAAGTACAAATCAATGCTGCCCAGACATAAATCCTTCAAATGCAAAGTTGGTTTTGCTTCTAAAATTATTCTATGAACACAGACATTTACATCGACAGTCTGGTGTAAATAATTGTTTTACTTCAGGTGTTTTGTGACAAGGACAAGGACTGGATGGAATATTTTAAAAAGTGTCTCCACACATCTCCATCACTCTGGCTCACTAGGAAATTAGGCCCTATTTTCAACATTCAGAACTGTCCCTTTAACATTAGAAAAAAAAAAGAAAAAAAGAAAGAAATATGAACTATATCTTAAATCTGCTTATCCTGTATTTTAGACATCTACAAACATGTTCTGAAATGAGATATATATTTGTTTATCAGCTCATATTTCAGACTTTTCTGAAATCCTAAATTTTTAATCCATAGAATTTTTTGTTTTGAAGCTGAGAAACTAGAAGTGCAAAAAAGTGATTGGAATATTTGTTCAAAAATAGCTGATTAGTGAAAGGGGTGAGGAAAGCTATAATTAAACACCAGCTTCATAATTTTCACTGTGGTACAAGCTAACAACACCTATTCACAGACTGGTAAATTAAGTGCCACCGACTAAAGGGAACTTTCAAGTTTTCATTGTCACAAATTTCATTGTCACGAATTTCAAGTTTATAATGCACCACAGAATTAAGGACTGTTATCTCAATGACTGTAAGTGTAAATGGTATAGTATTATCAGGAAAAAAATAATAAAATTGGGGTCATGTTTAAAGGTGCGTCTCATTGTCTCGGTGGAGAAGTTATGTCTTGTTTGCAATGTTCCCCAGTATGTCTTTAAACTTGAAACTAATCATATTTGTGGAGAGGCGAGCAAAGTAATAATACATGTTTTTCCACGTATTTCCAAGCACTAAAAACACAGGTTATAGAATTATAGAAGAAAGAAAAGTTTGATGCTAAACTCTGGCATATTTCTGTGTAGTCCCTTCACCAGAAAAGTTACACAATGCTCCTTTAAAGATGTTTACTTATCAAGACAGTACAAGATAGTAAGTTATATGCATCACCAAGTGGTCACCTATGGCATTACACTCATTAAAATCACCAAATTCCAGCAAATAAATGAAATAAATAAGGGTGTAGAAATATTGCATTATGTTTACACTTCAGTGAGATTTTACATCGAACATAAAAGGCTCTGAAAAGCATGACTGATTTATGTTCTTTTGAATTAATCAATAGTGAAATTGGATTCTCTTCCAAAACTCTTCAAACAGAGCACCCCATTGAGAGGATGATAATGAGAAATAGAATGAAAAGAAAAAACGCAAAATAGTTTTAAGAAGAGCAATAAAAGATAAGAGGATGTATGCGAGAGGGGGCGAAGATTTGAGTTCTGGAGAAACAAATTACCAAATGTGAACTAATCAACTGGGGCGACAGTGGTTAAAGCAGCGGTCCCCCAAACTATCATTGTGTCCTTAGGCAAGATACTTACGTAAGTCATAATTACTATATTGACTTATCATTCCAATATATGAGAGATGGAACAATAGATGGATTTTTCAATATCAATAATGGGATTTTTTGGTTATTTTTTGGCAATAAAATAAGATTTGAGCTGCACAGTAGAAGGTTGAATTGCATTTTAACAATATTGTACAATCCTGCTTTGAGGTTCTTGTGTCAGTGGCATAAATTAGTTTCAATATTATCGTTAATCATCTATATTTACTTCACCAATATATCGCACTTGAAAATGTGTTATTGTGACAGGTCTATTCATACACGGAAAAACTTACATTCTAACGGTGAGAGGAACACACCTCTCTACAGATCTGATTTTTCTTTATTGAGTTAGATAAGTTTATCAGAATACTAAGGAACATTTCAGGCAAAGTAAAAAGATTTCAATGGAAACAGGCAGGTGGTGGATCCACCAGAAAAAGTTTCATAATGCAGCTTTAAAAACAGACAGTACTGAGATGAGTACCTTGATGCTGTGCTTGTAGCTGTAAGCCGAGCGTCCGGGGGCGGGGCTCTTGAGTTTGGTGAAGATCAGAACATGCTGATAAAGGAAAACGTTTCTGAGACCGCTCCACTTTCTCCGAGGACCTCCACACACGGTGAGAACGCCGTGACGCACCAGCTCCCCCCTCTCCGCTACAGGCATCTGACACACACAAGACATCATGTTAGACATAAGAAGAGTCAAATGCACTCACAGAAAAGTGGGGATGTGTGTCTTCCATACTAATACCAATCATATATATCTGAACCTCAGCCACCAGGCCATGTCCCCAAACTGGGGCATTCCATCACCTACTCAGGGTTGTCCCGTAATAGAGGAGATTATAGTGGCCACCCTGTGATCTAATTTAACTAACTAAAGTAACTGAATGACATATGTCACTCAGAGTCCTGCAGCGGGTTGGGTACCCGATAAGTACGGGCAAATAGTTGTTGAAACGGGCGGGTTTTAACGTTCTGGAATGTTACGGGCGGTATGCGGGTGGGTAGTGATTACACACGGGTGGGTCAGCACTAAATCAGGACTAAACCAGGACTACACCAAGTCTAAACCAGGTCTAAACCAGGACTAATCTTGGACTTCAGAGAGAGAACCCCAAGCCCGTGGAGCAGGGTGTCCGCAAAGTGCGTTCGGGCAACGGCTGCCTTTACCACTGTGGGGCGTGAAGCTCTACGCTGATCCTGCCTACAGTCACCAGACGGTCTACACGAGTGCACCTTTGAGCCCATCCCGACACTGAGTCCTGGTTCAGTCCTGATTTAGTCCTGGTTTAGTCCTAGTTTAGTCCTGGTTTAGTCCTGATTTAGTCCTGAGTTCTGAGTCAGTCCTAAAATATAAATGAGGTAAACACTGTGTGCATTTGTGGACAGTATGTTGTTTGTGCTTTTCTCTCAAATGGATTTTAAAAAAAAAAAGTTTGATTCCTCAGCTCGTTCCACTGTTTTGACCCTTTAACCATTTCAAATATTCGTCATGATGTTTTAACTTTTCGTGACCGCTTTCAGAAGGGCCCTCCCTAATTGATGTACAATTCAATTCAGATCAATCTGGGTCAAGGTTAGCACAGATGAGTAACATGACCATTTTTTCAACAAGAAAATACACTTTGTGCTGTTATTACTGGCCATCTTCCGTTGGTCCCTGACTAAAAGATGTTTTAAAGTTTACTTGTAGTGATTTTGGCAGAAATTTCATCCACAAAAGTGTCTGTGCTCTGGGCTGGATATGGGACAAAGGCTACAGTAGTTATTACAGGGTCTTGCGTGGTGACAAACTCGCTCCACGGCTTCACTTCTGTTGGATTCTCGCTCTAATTGGTCCTCTGAGTCAGTCCTTAGAGAAAATGTGACTTTATTGTTCATGTCAATTACAGGGCGCTTTGTACAGATGGACAGACAATGATGAATCCTCCAATGTAATGTGGGTTTGGAGAAGACATTTTGAAAAAGCTGCATAACTTTTTTCTTTTATTTAAAATCTGTGAGTGTGCTGACAACACCTGATGTTATTTTTGGGTATCTACAAGAGCAGTCATGAGATAAGTGAGGCTTCACAGCAGTATAACACCCACCTCCACTAGCACCGATTTAAACAGCAAAATGGAGGAGGTCCAACAAGAAAGAGAGGAACTATGGGTCGACAATAATCTACGTGAATAATGTTTTGGGGATTTACTGCGATAATGATAATCAGATAAAATGCACACTATGTAACTTTTCAGAGTGGAGGACGTACCATCTGCTCGTCTCCATGGGCAATGTGTTTATATTTACTCATTTTGCTCTATCAAAGTTCTGTTGTATTTTGTAAAAAGGACAATAAAATCTAATCTAATCATGCTGCTTTGCCTGGTATGTTGCACAGTATGGCCTACCGTTCATTTAATGGTAATTTTATTTCTTAAAAATACACTGAAAAAACAGCATTTTTATTGTGAGCAAAGTCGCCTCTCCACAGATCTGACCTACTGGTGCCATCTTCTTGTATTCATGGACATGGATAAGTGTAATGCCATATGGTGGGACATTCCAGACAATGCAATTACATCTCCATGGAGAGAAGCAGGCGGCATCTCCTCCACAAGGAAAGTTACACACACCATCTTTAATTACTATACGACACAAACATAATTGGATTGTTTTGAATGGAATCATGATCCTCTGCTTTTGTCTACATTGTTTGCTTACCAGGCAGCCCACGATCAGGTCACTGGCGCGCAGGTCTTCTCCATGGCGCTGGGCGTGTCTCAGGACAGAGAGGGCGGAGTCTGAGGCGGGGTTTATCCCTCCCAGCTCCTCTAGGGCGGCGCAGTACTGCTCCAGACGCTGCACTGGAGCCTGGAGGCAGTGAGGGAAGGACAGAGGAGAAAGAGGAGAGGCCAGAGGGAGTTTGGACTGAAAAAGAAGAGAGGAGATATGGGAGATGGGTCAGTCCATATGAAATCAGCTGCCCTCCCCTATGAGCCGTCTCAGTTTTGTCTGAAAAAATTAAAAAAAAAAATCTAAAATTACCAAATGAAAGAATCTAAAATTTTAGCTCAATCGCTTGAGTCTTTCCTGAGTTATGGCCCGTTGAAATTTTGAGGCCATACTAGCTAGGAAGCTGAAAATTGTATTATTGTAGATTCTTGGTCATAGATTCTGAATATTGGGTATCTTTATTAACGGGTGAGCTGTGGGTCCCAAAATCTCACTTTTTTTTTTTTTTTTTACTATTTTTGAGGTCCAAGATCTATTTACTCCAAGCAGATATTTACAAACTAACACTATTTGACAAGATTCAGGATCTATGACAAAAAATCTATAATAATACAAATTTTCAGCTTCCTACTTCTATTTTTTATGAAGTTATGGTCTCTCAAACACGCTTAAAAATTAAGGCTTCCGAAAAAGTGGTCATGGCCTCAAAATTTCAACGGGCCATAACTCAGGAACGACTGAAGGGATTGAGCTAAAATTTTAGATTCTTTCATTTGGTGATTTTAGAATTTTTTGAATTTTTTTCAGCCAAATCTGAGATGGCTCATTCGGGAGATTCCTTGAAAACATACGGACATAGGGTCATATGGTCATACGGACTAACCCAGACATATGCAAAATTGCCTTAATCGAAAAGGGTCTACCACTTTGTTGGTTTGCATTGAAATGTTATTGCTTTGCCTGGAATGTTCCACAGTATGACATTAAACCTGTCCTTTTATGAGAAGACAAAACTTCTCTACCTTCTCGACTACTGCAAAATCCTTCTGTATGGTCTCCCCTCCACCCACCTCCAAAAACTGCAATATTCACAGGACAAAGCACCGGACCTTGGGGGACCGAGCCTTCGCCGCCGCCCCCGCCCCTTCCCTCTGGAACTCACTCCCACAATCCATCAGGAACTCGGACTCACTGCAGCAATTCAAATCACTTTTAAAAACTCACCTGTTCAAACTGGAACTCCCCCCATGATTCCCCTGTTTTCTACAGTGTCACTTTTTATCGTTTATTTGTTTGTAAAGCGTCTTTGAGTATCTAAAAAAGCGCTATTTAAGTCTGATGTGGATAAGCAGGCTATGTTTCAGGCCACATCTGTGAAGAGGTGACCCTGCTCAGTTACAATTCATGTTTTCAAAGTTCATTTTAAGCACTAAAACAACTATGATTGAATAAATAGCTCAGTTTAATGCCATACCGTGAAACATCTCAGGCAATGCAATCACCCTGGTAATTAAATTTAAAAAAAATAAAATAAAACCACAATATATACTTAATTTATTAATATCACCAACCCCTAAAGTCACAACGGAGCCTGTGAATGCGTTGAGTGCCATACTGAGGACACATCATATCGCAGCGAGCCCTTTTGGGTCTGTTACAAACGGGTTTTAGTCATAGGACCGGACAACCCAAAGTGAGGGACTCGCAAAAGAAATATCAGGGGAAAAAAATAGTAAAACATTCTTGTCATGTTTTTATTTTTTCATGTTTTGTGGTGAAGATTGCTTGTTGTGTTTTTGCTTCAAGTGCCACTTAATGAGAAACCAATTAAATCATTTGGAGATCACAATTTAATTTGTCTTGAGTTCAAACAACAAAAGAGTAATCGCTCAAAACATAAACAAAGAAACCCAATCTTCAATGAGACTGTACTTGACAAAGGTGGCAGAATAGTCAAAAACACACTCAAGTATGAGAACTTTCAAATAATATTACTCAAGTAGTCAAAAAGCATAGAATAAAAACACAGCCTACCTATCATTTTTCAAGATGGGATTTGATTCATGACCCTGAGCAAATGTAATTGGGGAAAAATGTTAAACCATGTTCAATTAGTTTCCAAACTACCTGGACGACTGAGGGATTACACTGATATAAGATCATGTGATACTATAAAAGAAAATACCATGATTTAATATTGAAAATGGCACTTTATTGTCTAAATAAACAGTGATTTTATTGTCATCTATGAATCGTATCGAGTATTGAGTTTATCTCTTATTATCGAAATGGAAAATGAACATTGTGACAACACTAGTGCTGTTTGCTAAATATTACTCACTATTAATGATAAAAATAAATGATTCTAGTAATCAAATACTTAAATAAACACACTACAAAGACACTACAACATGCCAGAGACTCAAAAAGACTCAAAAAACGTATACACTGAACTAAATCTGCATCAGATTATGTAAAAATTTCATACTGGTTTAGCTATTCATGCAATCTAATAACTAAAACAATTCTTAAAACAAATAGAGTAATCAATTAGCAAAATTATTGTTAACTGTAGCCCTACTTCAAATTTAAAAATATTATTCAGAAGTAAACGTAAAGATGCTTAATTTCAAATGTTACTCAAGTGAAGTAAGATGATTGATTATACGTACTTAATTTTGTGTACTATACTATTTTGCCCATAATTGTCACGTGTACATCTCAAGAAATATGAGCATTTTAAAAAGTCATCGTTTGCTCTATGGTCAAAAGTAAAGACTGTGCAAACACTGCCTCCTTGTGGTCGTTTTACAGTAGTGCACTGTTATGCGACTTCACCAGCGCTTGTGTCTTCAACCACTTCCTCTTCTCTGTCTCATTAACTTCATTATGCTGTTCATTTATTTATTTATTATTTAACTGTTGCTAGTAAACCCAAATTACTTTCTTCATAATCCAGTTTTTACATATTTGTGTCTGAGTGTACGTCAAACATGTAATTACTCTTCATAACTCAGTCTAATTGCCGCCAGGGGATGAATAAGGTGACTTAAATTGGTTTGCACTTGAGATGTGTTCAAAGACATCTCGGAAATGATGGTACTCTTCAACTCTAAATATATGGAAAACATGACGCTAACCCTGTAGTTTAGAGCTCTACAAACACGTTCTGAAATGCATTATATGGGACTCTTGTATAAGTTTAGCAGTTCAGATCTTTCAGCTCAGTCTTCTCTCAAATGTTAAAATGCAAAAAAATCTGATGTAAATATTTTTCCTAATTTAGAGTAGGGCTGAATGATTTTGGAACATTATCCATTTGCCAGCATTGCTATTTGGTTCACAATGTATGTTTATATTGTAGGATTCACATTTCAAATACATCCTGGAGCATTAGCGTTTGAGAGAAGACTGAAATCTGAACTGTTAAACTAATTAGGGCTGTAACGACCGATTATTTTGGTAATAGATTAAGCTAGTGATTATTCTATTCAGATGATTTGATTAATACTTTAGAAGGCAAAAGGCCCCTGAACATGAGATTTTTAAGCAATTTTACCCAGATAAAGCTGAAATGAAGCCACTTGAGGACATCCTGAGTACAATTACAGACACACTGAAAATGACTTCTGGATGGATGGCAGTCGAAAAGTCGTGGTTTCAAAACATTGTCCAGATGACTATTTTTGAAACCAATTTAATCAAAAACACAAAATGTACAAATTTCTTTATGTCATCTTCATGTAATTACTGCCCTGTCTGATTCATAAAGCCTAGTCTCTCAGATGATGGCGTGTTTTGAGTCTGTTTATAAACTTTTTGAGATTTTGATCTACGACAAGATTGGATTACTGCAATGCTCTCTCTATGTTGGCATAAGCCACTCCTCCTCCCTAGCACGCTTCCCGCTCGTCCAAAACACAGCAGCATGTCTATTAACTAATTAAGTTCTTCTTTTCTTGTGGACTTGGGTTCATTAAATCATTTAGTGAAGCCAGTTGTTACAAACTTTGGTGTCAAATTGGCCCGGATCTAAAACTTGATCAGCAAATTAGTGCTGTTGTAAAATCTAGTTTTTTACAGCGAAGCAACGCAACACTTTGAAACTGTCATACATGCATTTGTGACGAATAGATTGGATTATTGTAATGCACTTTATGTTGGTGTCAGCCAAAATGGGCTTTGCTGGTTGCGACGTGTCCAAAATTCAGCGGCTCGACTTTTAACTAGAACCCGGAAACACAAAATCATCTCACCTATTTTAGCTTCTCTCCATTGGCTCCTAGTGTCTTTTAGAGTCAACTTTAAAATTCTTTTATTTACTTTTAAGTGTTTGCACAGCCTAGCGTCCTCCTACCTCACTGACTTGATCCACCCTTATGTCCCCTCTCGCACACTCAGGTCTGCAGACCAACTCCAGCTCACTGTCCCAAAAACTACACGTAAGCTTTGTGAGGACCGTGTGTTTTCTGTTGCTGCCCCTCGGCTGTTGGAACCAGTTGCCATTAGAGATGACAGACCGAGTCTGTACCTGTTTTTAAATCACTCCTAAAAACACACCTTTTTTCACTGACTTTTAATAAGTGACATGTACATTTCTTGAGTATTTTACTGTTTTATATGTTTTTTAGTAGCTGTATTGTGTTTGTACCATATATTTTCTTCTACTGCGATTGTGATTGTCTGTCCTGTGTTTGTGTACAGAACTTTGACCTACTGTAAAGTTTTTAAAGTACTTTATAAATAAAGTTGTTATGGTATGGTCTGGTAGTTCACAGAAATACAACCACGTGTCCCCAATCCTATCTGCCCTTCAAAGACTACCCTGTTCTTTTCGGAGTGGATTTTAACAAACTTTTGTTTGTTGTTAAATGCCTCTCCCTTGCGCTCCCTCAGATCAGCTGATCAGACTCTTCTCGTGGTTCCTCAATTGCAGAGGAAGCTAAGAGGAGATAGAGTATTTTCTGTTGTTGGGCCTAAATTATGGAATGAGTTGCCTATTCATATAAGAGAAGGAAACTCTCTTCTTGCTTTTAAATCTCGTCTGAAAACACATTGGCTTTTGAGGTCTTTTACTGTTCAGTAATTGTTGTATGTATATATTTTTCACTGAATTACACATATGTTTTTAGTAGTGCTTTATAAATAAATTTGGATAAACCAGTTAACGCTTATTGGATTACTAAATTATCTGACAGTAATAATAGTTGTGATTAAAAGATTAACTTGTTGCAACCCTAAAACTAATAAAAGTTTTCAGAACATATTTGTAGAGGTCTAAAATACAGGGTTATTTTTCTTTTTTTTACATAATCTGAAAAAAAAATTGTCATTTGTAAAGGAAATTATTGGTAGAAAATGGTGGCTTATAATTTTGGATTTACCTTGAAAAAATCGGCCGCCTGTGTGACCAGTGGTGAGTCCAGGTCTGGTCTGGATCTGATGTACTGAGAATAGTCCATGAACTGCTCCCGCTGTGAAATACAACACCCACGTCAATACATAGCAGGAAATAAATGGTGAAGAAACAAAAATCTATAAGCAGACATGTGTTCTACAGCTATGTTATGTTTTTTAGCTGTATATATATTTTTTTTATTTGCCTATATTTTTGTAGTATTTTTTCCCATTTTCCTTAGATTTTTCTTATTTGCAGTTAGTCATTAGTCGATTTAGATTTTTTGCCAATTTTTGTATGTATTTTTTTCCTTTTGGTAGTAGGAGCTTGTAAATATTGTAGGTCATAACACTAGTTAATAAAATGTTCTCTCAATAATTTACAAATGTAAAGTAAAAGCACTCTATATTACACAAGGAATTAAAAATTTGAATGGATAACTAATACAAGTTTGAGAAAAAATAAATATGGTGAAATTACAGCTACTGAATAACTTAAAGGTGTACTATGTAACTTTAAACTACCAGAAAATTGTGTTCCTAAAATTGTCCCTGAATTTGGATAGAATTTTGGGTAATAAAAAAGGTAAACATGACATCTGACTATTTAGTAAAGGTTACTTTTTTGTCCTGTGAGTAAATTTTTTTAGTCTCGATACTTGCTCAAATTAGTATCTACTTTCGATTGTAGTTTTAGTGTAGATTAGTATCAGATTTTTGGTACTTTTGACAACCCTACTCACATATTTGCTGAAGCAGTCCTGTTGTAGTAGACTCTGCACCAGGGCGCCTTCCATGGCCGGTAGGAGGTACTGCGAGTGGAAGTTGCAGAGGGTGGTCCAGTAGGGGAAGAGGATGTCGTCTTTGCCCCTGATAGAGATAGGAGCATCTGACAGGTGCAGAAGCGGCACGTATGTCTCCTCCACCCCCTTTAACACAGCCACGTACTGACGCTCGGAGCTCAGCATGCGGCACCACAACAGGTACAGCTTACTGCAAGACAAAGGAAATATATCTGTATTTAAGATAATTAAGGCTGGGCAAAAATAAACATTATTAATCACATGAGTTCGAGAGTGATTAATTGTGATTAATTGCATGTTGTAATCAAAACCAATTAATGAATTAAAAAGTAGCATATAGCGCACTTTTATTGGAAATGTAAATGAAAGTGCCATGCATTTGTGCAAACAGTATTTCTTTCAGAGGGGAACCCTCAGAGCCTTCAAGGTATTCAGTAAAGGTTCAAGAAAAAATATTGAATTCATTTTTGTACTACTAATATATTTTTTCAGTATTTTTTATTCAGTGAGTAATAAACACTACACTAGTAATAATTTATAGATCATTGTTATAAACTTGGACTAATATTTCTTATGAAACAAAGGGTTAATATAATGGAATAGAAATGGACCAATCATAATTTTTCTTCCAATGATATCAGAGTAAATCAGTGACTGCTCCTGCAGCACTGAACTAAAGAAACACCTGGTGGCTGGAACAAAGTTTGACATTGACAGTTATCTTAGCCAATCATATTTCATTGAGTCGGGATCATATCATGAAATCGTCCGGATCTCCACGAATAATCTGTAATAGCATTATGTAAGCGAGACCGCAGTGACGAAAACCACACTGGACCCCTCTATTTGGACGCCTCAGAGGCATCTGGAAGAAGGAGAAGAAAGAGAAAGGCCCGTGAATCTGCGCCCATGGCCCGGTCGGAGCTAGGAGCCTACGGAAGCTCAGAGCTCACAGCTGGTCGCAGCCGACCCCGCGGCCGGACAGAGCCCACGATGAGCGGAGGCTCGGACACGTTGCATCTCACGTGGAAAAAAGTGAAAAAAGTGTAAAGAAAAGACGACAAACTTAAAGAAACGCTCGCGGTGGACTTTTTCAAAATAAAAGCTAATGAGCAACAGACGTTTACAATAAAAAAAAATTTAAAACTGTGTTAACGGCGTTAAAATGATGGAATTAATTAGGTAACGCAAAATTAACGTGTTAACGTGCCTGGCCCTAAAGATAATTAAATACTAAATTAATAACAATAAAAGTGGATTTCAGACGATTCATGTTTTAGATGTTACAATTTCAGATGGAGAGCAGGGGTCTATATAACTCTACAAAAGATTCAATGTTTTGTAAGACAAAACATGATCCACAGATGTTGAACCTTTTCATTATTTGTTTGGGATTGGCTCCACAGACTTGCCATATTAAACTCAACACTTAACAACACAATATAATTCTGCCCTGCCCAAGAATGTTGTGATGCCATGTGAACTATTTGATAAGACGGGGAGTAACCAGAAAAGTTACATTGTGCAACTTTGAAACACGAAGAAGACTAGATCCATTGTCTAAGTAAACCACATCTGGGTCATTCCACCCCAAATTTCCAAATGTCCCCGCTCGACCATCCCAGATTTGACAGAAAAAATTCTAAGAGGGTCACATACTTGCCAATAGGAAAAGTCCCAGATTTTATATCCCAACTCCTTGTTTTGTCATTAAAAAATATTTAGTCAACTCCCCCCTGACCTGTTTTGAGCAGAGTTTTCCGAGGAGCCACTTTCAGACTGCTGTATCTAAAACAACTACACTAAAACACTACAAATGTGTTGCATAAACAAGTTTCCTTCCTCTGAACAAGCAAAAAAACTGTAGCACTGTAGCAAAATAATTTAGTAAAAAATTCTTTTGCTGATATATTGATACAGCAGCCCACGATATCGATACTGTATCATCATATTAAACGATACGATAAATCAATATTTCAATATCTTTGCACAGCCCTAGTTAGGTGTTATAAATACTTTTTTACTTCAGCCTAAACCCTTTTGGTCATGATCCATGAGGTTGTAGACTATGTGTTGTTTTATAGTGCTGCAAAATGACCAAATAAACGTATTACTACTACTACTACTACTACTACTACCTCCTCCTCCTCCTCCTCCTACTACTACTACTACTACCTCTTCCTACTTCTACTACTACTACTACCTACTACTACTACTACTACTACTACTACTACTACTACTACTACTACTACTACTACTACTACTACTACTACTACCTACCTACTACTACTCCTACCTACTACCTACTACTACTACTACTACTATCATTTGAAAATATAGAGCCAGCAGAGTTTTATCCTTACTGTATCTAAACACTACATCCTGTGATGTGATGAAATTCATCAAACTCATGCACCCACCTCTGAGGCGTGGTCCCTCCTCTCTCTGTAGCCCCCATCTCCCTCTCAGCGCGACTCAGCAGAACGTGTTGCCGTGGAGACCCTGTGTGATCCACCACCTCCTTACTGCTCACCTCCACCCCCCGGATCAGTACCCCTCCTCCCCCTCCCCCACCCCCTCCCGCACCCGCACAGCTCCACCCGGGCACAGCAGCCATGCCCGTCGCTATGACCGGGTCTGCCAGCGCCCGGCGCCCGAGCCAGGACATGGGGGAGTGGCGGGTGGGTGGCGCCCCGGGGGAGTCCAGGGGTTTGGGGGAGGCGGCGCCGCGACGTGGGGCGAGCAGGGCCTGGAGGTCGAAGCTCGGGTGGCGCTTTCGAACGGGCTTCTGAGGCACAGGGGACTCTGTGGGCTGAGAGAGACAAGGACATTACACTAAATATATGATAAGAGAAAATATATACAGTAGTGTAAGGCAATATTTGAATGAAAGCAACACTATGTAACTTTCTGGAGACGGCACATCACCTTCATCAAAATGTAATTAAAACAAAACTTTGGGACATTCTCCATGATGCTTTATGACATACTGTGGAAAATTATCACCAACAGAACAATATTTCCATGGAATGTAAAAAGAGGCCACTTCCAGACCAAATAAGAGTCATGTTTGTGGAGATGTAAACCTGCTCAAAGTAAAAATCAACAAACAAAAACACAGATGCACACTACGACTATAAGTAAAAGTTGAATTGAGATATTCATTATTCAGGCTTTTTATTACCTTTGATTACATTTCATTGTTGTATTAACAGGTCTTAGAGTGAAGTGTACTAGCTTCAGCCCAGACTAAACCCTGGGCCCACTTCCTTTGCACTCATTCGTTCATTGTTTCAGAGTTACAGTTTCCTAACGTGACTCTTCCTGTAATTTAGAATATTCCTGAGTGCTATGAGTGCACGGTTATGCTGTAAGTCAGAGGTGTATGTGCATGAGCAGAAAACTGAGAAAATAGTTTGTTAACCTGACTCTTGTGATCTTTAAGCCATGTTATAATGTTGTAACCTCATCAAAAACATATCTGAAGTTGTGTTTTGTTTCATTCACACGTCTGTCTACATTTCCAATGGTCATTATGCTCTGTTCCACCTTGTGATGTTATGAAGCGGTAAATTTCAAGTTAATAACTACATTTCACCTTTAGTTCAGTAGACATTGGCAATTGAAATTATTATATTATTATACTGTACATTATTATGATTCTAGTGATGGTGTGTGAGTTTAACAACACAGTGGAGCCTTCCTGTATTATCACATGACATCACAATGTGGAAAATAGTGTTCCGGTTTGAGAGAAGAGCTCAGCCTTAATATGCAGAGCTTGTGTGTTAAACATGTGAATAAAACTAAATGCAAGTCCAGATATGTTTTTGATGAAGAAACAACATTAAAACATAAATAATAGAATAATGGAATAAAAGAGTAAAAAGCAAAAGAACTAAGAAAGTATTAAAAAAGAATTAGATGACTGTATAGATTTTCTGGAGAGGGCGTAGACCAAATGTGGTGGAATAGAATGAGAGACAGGACAAGATAAAATGACACAAAATGTTGAAATACTGGTGACTTATGTTCTGATCTTAGAAAAACATTCAACAATGACAGCATAAATATAAAACACAACAAATGAAAAACTTGACATAATAAATGCATTGTCAAAAGTCAAAAGTCAACAAATGAAAAACTAGGAAATCTAATTCACTGTGTCAAAACATTGTGTCACATCTTGTGGGATGTTTCTAGTCTCAACCCTACTAACAATAAAAAGTATGACACAGTTCATTAAAGTCAATTTATGAAGTTGAAAATCAAAACTTTTTTTTTTCTTTCAAAACTCTTTCAACTATTCCTTTAAAGGTCCTATATTATGCAACAATGACTCTTGTATTTCTTGTATTTCTTGTATTTTAAGCCATGTTAGAATGTTCTAAACTCCTCAAAAACGTACCGTATTTTCCAGGCTATAAGACGTGCTCTTAAGCCTCCAACCGCAGCCAAAAACACCCGCAGCCACACTCATCACTCCACACGGACAAGGAACGGAACGGAGGAACGAATCAAAAAAGTGAGTGCAATGTGCCACTTCCAGCCACAACTGAACAACTGAGTCACTGCGAACACGCCAACAATCCAGTGGTCCCAGACAGCAGCCTCCCTACACGCCACAACTGAACAAAGCCCAGAGTCACCGTGAACGCGACAAACAAATTCCCACTGATCCATCCAACTGTTGTGTTTCGTTTAAAGTCCGGTGCAGTTTATTTGTGAAAAAAGTTCGAATATAGACCATTCTATGACAGTGTGCCTTATAATCCAGAGCGCCACATAGTGCGGGGAATACGGTACATGGAGTTGTGTTTTATTTCATTCACAAGTTTGAGAAATCCCTTATTTATTAATCTGTCTACATTTCCAAAGCTCAAAATGCTCTGTCCCACCTTGTGATGTGATGAAGTGATAGTTTTCAAGTTAACAGCTATTCCTTAGCCTCAATTGCACTTACTCTACAATACACTAGAGTCATTTTAATCTTAAATCATAAGGTGCGATGTTTTCTGTTATGAAAGAAGAACTCAGTCTAAATATGCAGAGTCTGTGTGCTAAACATGTGAATGAAGCAAAACTACTCCAGGTATGTTATTGATGAAGAAACAACATTACAGGTATAACAAAAACTAGCAAAAAATAGACCCTATAATGAATGAAAACAAGACCAAAGCAACTTACGCTCTTCTTCGCTGGATTGAGCAGATTATGCAGAAACTTCCCTCCCCCTGCTCCCCCATTAGCCGTCTCTTTCCTGTTCCCTTTCTCGTCTCCGATCTTCAGCGTGGAACAAGTCTGCGGCCTGAACAGCGAAGCCAGGGACCCCCAGGACTGCAGACCTCCGTCCCCTCCCCACTCCCCCTCGCTCTCGGGCCCCAGCAGGTCCCACGCGCTGCTGGCCGAGGGCGTCTTGGGCTTCCCTTGGTTCTGGTGGTGGCTCCGGTCAGACTGGAGGAATCGCGGTTTGACCTGGGCTACGGTCCGCTGGTATCGCTCCACGGTTTGGGTCCACAGGTCTAGCAGCTGACCGCCGCCCAGCTCCATGGCCAGAGAGCGGGCATCCTGGAAGCGCGAGGGGGGGATGGGGGGCAGAGAGGCCAGAGGGCAGGTGGAGGTGGGGGAAGGGGAGGACACGGCGTCGCACCATTGCGTGGCCTGGAGAAGAAAGTACAGCTGATACACACTACCAGACAAAGGTTTGGACACACCATTGCATTCCTTTTTTTTCTATATATTTACTACTTTCTACATTTGATATATATAGAGAAGACATCAAATACATCAAGTAAAATATCTTTCATATTCAACTATTCAATATAGCCAAACTTTGATTTGATTTTGTTTCCCTTAACTACATAATTCCATATATCTTGCTTCATATATTTGACGTCTTCCGTATGTATAAAAACAAAAATGTAAAAATTTAGGAAAAACAAACAATAAATTTGTTGGTGTGTCCAAACTTTTGACTGGTAGTGTAAGTGAAGGGATCAGCAAAACACTAAGAATAAAACCAAAAGAAAAAGAAAAAGTTTGATAATGATTGTCTGATCCTTCTGTTTTTTTATTATTGCAAACTAGGTACATTTTCAGCTTCCTGGTCAAAAACATGAAATTTTAAAGGTCCGATATTATGCAAAATGAACTCCTGTGAGCTTTTACCCATGTTAAAATGCTGTCATAGATCAGAAAATAGCACAATCAAGGCCCTTTAAGTAGTTGGTGGCATCACTCAGGACTGTTCGCATTACAAATACCGGAATGCAAGGGCAGAGTTTGAAGTGTGGATACAAGCACACTATTCCACAAATGTCCAGACTCCATCCCTCCTCTTCACTTATTCTGTTCGTTAGTCCACAGGTTAAGTGTGTAGTTCCACTTAAAGTAATTATAAAGATAAAATAGCCAAAAAAAAAAAAAAATGTTTGTTATGTCTAAACTCACACAAACTCTTCTGAAAATGTTCTGAAATGCATTTATGCAATTCTAGTATTAATTTAGCTATATAGATCACAGTCTTCTCTCATATGCTCTTCCCCTGGACATATTTTTATTTTATTACTTTTCATATTTTTGGTACTTCAATAATTGCTGCCTTTGTGATTTGCTAACTACACCCATTCAAATTTAATCATTAGAATATCATGAAAAAGGTAAATATTTTGTCACCTTTTGTCACAATATTTATAACTTGGTGAAATGAGTGACAAAAAATATACAACTTGATGATATTCTTCATAAGATTCTAATAGTATTTTCATCCCTAGTGGTCTGTACCTCGGTGAGCGTGGACAGCAGCCTCTGAGTGTTGTCCAGAGTGGTCCAACAGTCGGACAGACAGTGGGACATGTCTCTCAGTCTCTCTCGCACCGGGGGCAGTTTGATCTGGACCTGGTTTAGTCCAGCCCAGTCCAGTTCAGACCAGGTCTCCAGTTCGGCGAGCACAGCCAGAGTCTCACTGTGCAGATCCTAGAGGAGTGAACAAGTGTGTTTATTCTACAGGCAACACCGGATATACAGATCATGAAAGAAGAGAAATGAGTGCACTGGAGGACAGCCAAAGTGTACGCATTAGTTTATTTCATATCAATTATTCATCACTGATCAAAGGCTTGGTCTATTGTTTACACTAGAAAAGACAGGATATGAACTGCCTTAGAAAGCACCATTATATAAAAAAGTTGAATTTCTATACCACCTAAAAGCCACAATGTGTAACTTTTTAGTTAAAAAAAAAGCTAAATAAAAGCATGATTTTTCATGTTGGTTGTGTTTATTGCACTGAGTGGATTTGTATCTCAGCAAACCTGACTTGGTCTGGAAGAGGGCCTCCTCCAGCTTGCTTCCATAGAAATTTGTTGTGAAATCAGCTCAGTGTTGGGAGTAATGAGTTATAAAAGAAACAAATTACTGTAATGCATTGCTTTTAGCTGTAACGCAGTAATGAATAAAGGCATTACAGGGAAAAAATGTAATATTTTACTCGGTGCAAATGTCAGTAACGCACGTTACAATGCTTTTTTAACCTGGATCGAAGTAACGGGTTTTTTGTTTTTCTTCATACAAATTTGCTAAAATCACTGCGATATCAGCAGCAGTGAAACACCATCGTTAGAGTGTCGGGATGGGGTGCTCCCGGGTAGACCGTTGGGTAACCGTGGGCGAAAGGACCAACGCAGAGCTCTGAGCTAATTGCAGCTGATGCCCGACACCCTGCTCCACGGGCTCGGGGTTCTCTCAGGGGCAGTCCTAGATTCCAAGTCCTAGTCCAAGATTAGTTCTGTTTCAGTTCTGGTTTAGACCTGGTTTATTCCTGGTTCAGCTCTGGTTCAGTTCTGGTATAGTCCTGGTTTAGTCCTGGTTCAGTCCTGGTTCAGTCCTGGTTCAGTCCTGGTTCAGTCCTGGATCAGGTTCAGTCCTGGTTTAGTCCTCGGTTCAGTCCTGGTTCAGTCCATATACAGCGCAAAAGTTCAGCATCTTCTCACAGTTATTTTGGTGAGAGTGGCTTAAAAGTAAAGCAATTGTAGTGTAGTTTTGAAGTAACTTCAGTAACAGTGAATCAGCTTAATTAATTTAAAGTATTTTTTTTTACTAATTTGCTATTTTTCTTTCTCTCTCTTTTACCACTATGGAACTGGATTGAAATTGGATCATTTCTGTTTGTATTACGTCAAGTGTCAAGAGCAATAGGAAGTTCTTCTGATATTAAACAAAGTTCTTTTGAATAAAAAGGGAGGAGGTTATAAGGTCAGACTTCTTCCCACTCCCATTAAGCATGTGAGAACAGTATTGTGAATGTGATGCTTGTATTTATGGATTTAAATGTTTTGTAAATATGCATAATGAATGACTCACATTGGCAGTCTCCCTGAAGGTCTTGAACTTCTGCTGCTTCAGGGACAATCTGCTCAGAGACAAAGGAGGGTCTCTGAAATCCTCCAGCTGTGACTGAACTCTCTCTATCTCTTTATCGCACTGAGGACACACACAAATACACACAAATAACACACAGTCAAGTTTTTTTTAAAGCAGAACTGAGCCTGTCATCATCTGATTTTTGTCCCTGTAACCTAAAAACAAAAAGACAACTGGTAATTCAAATGATACTTCATGCATGTAGTGTATGTTATAATGTTGTTTCCTCATCACAAACATACCTGGAGTTGTTTTTTGTTTCATTCTCACATGTTTAACACACATTCTCGGCATATTTAGCCTGAGTTCGTCTCCACTTTATTTCGGTTTTGTTTCTGAGGAGGTAACAACATTCTAATGAGGCTTAAAGCTTCAAGTCAATTTCAATTTTAATACGGGACCTTGAATCTGTAATGCAGGCTTTTTGAGCAGTAGAAGTAATACGTGCTTTTTAAACTACAAAAAATGAATTACATAAAATGATTCAAATGTGGATCGCTTGTAGTCTAAGTATAGAACAATACCTTTATATAATTTTTCTCATTCAACTTGGAGCAAGAATAATGAATACTGTTAACATGTCAAAATGTAATTATCTTGTCGTGCAGGAATTGTGTCTAGTCCCGTCCCTATTATAATACAGCTTTTGTGAATTTCTATTTTCTGTGCAAATGCAATATAATTAAATGTGAACACTATAAATACAGACTTTTTCCAGTTTGTCGACGAGGCCAGCGAGTCGCCCGAGTTTGTCCAGGTTGCAGCCTCTCTGATTAGACACTTGGACCAGACGATGCAGGGCGTCATCCACACTGTCGTATAGTTTGGAGGTAGCAGCCAGAGCAGGCTCTACGACACAACACAAGGATCAGTGTCAATAGTGCTCAAGTCAAAGTTACGTTGAAAGAGAAGAATTAGAATATCAGTGTTATGGTCCAAGTAAGTTTACATTTACCATCTTTGTTTTTATTAATTCCTTGGCTCTAGCTGAGTGGAGTGGTAACAATCAAGTATATTGTCTATAAAATCAAGAAAATGCCAAAAACCTGCAAAAAGTAGTAAATAAAAAAATTCTAAAAAAAAAGAAAAAGGAAACTTTACACTTATTTTTCGATAAATGGACTGGTGTTTTGGTCCATTTTTGAAGGATTGTAAATATATGATCTGATTGAGAATCAAAAACAATACCATGAAACAAAGCCTGAAAAAAGAAGTAGATCCTCTAATTTGACCCTGGCTTTGAAAATATATTATATGAGTGGAAAAGTTATAAAATACTTTTTTGTCCATACAGCGCATAGTGTTGTCGCTATACTAAAATTTCAAGCTCGATTTTGATTCTGAGGAATAGACTCAATAATCAATACCGATTCCAGTATCACAATAATAAAAAAGACTCTTCCATGGCTGTATACTTGTCTATGTGGTCTTATACAACCCAAGATCATTGTAAGTTCATTTCCTTCCTGTGAATGAGTTTTTTTAGTCTTGTTACTTGCTCAAATGAGTATCTAGCTTTGATTATAGTTTTAACATTGATTAGTATCTGATTCTCGATACTCTTGACCACCCCAAAGGCCCACCTCTGTGTTGATTCTCAAACCTGCAGTCTGGTGACTTTTGTGCCATTCCTGACGCACTATTGGTCAGCCCGGCGAGCCAAGCCCCGCCCCGCCTCTGCAGCTCTGTGAGGCGCTGGTCGGCCAGAACGCTGGACATGAGCTCCTTGTGCTGTGCGATGCTCAGAGGAACAGCCTGGGGAATAAGAATCATACAAAACATGAGCCATTTGAAAAGAGCTGAATGTCTGTGCTTTTGCAGATAGATTTGATTTATTCTTTTAAATTGAGATTCAGTTCACAGTGCACATTTTAAACAAGTCCAGGAGCATGAACATTTAAGAGAAGACATATGACTGCTACACTAATATAAGAATCTCAGGCATTTCTGTAGGGAGTTAGCAGCTTTTACACACAATAAGAAGCAATGTTTAGTGGTGGTTTTGCAGGACATGTTTTTTGCCTGAACCACAGCAGCTGGAGGTGGATCAAAATAAGTCCCCTGCATGCTGTGTGCATTTAATTAGAAAATGATTTATTGTCCAAGCATCAGGAAGTGAGTGATAAGCATTGTTAGTTCTGACAACCTTTGGTCTCAGAGCTACGAACAGTGCTTCTGTACTCTTCACTGTGAATAATCTGGATGCTCAAAATGCATAAGGTAAGTGAGGGAGTAACTGCAAAACTCTGCAAATTATTTAAAATGAACAAGTTCTCTTTTTTTCATGTTTTTAAGACAGTAAAAGTTAAGTACAGAACCTTTAAAATGTAAACTTCCAAATAAGGTTACAAAGTGTTATTTCTGCACTGTAATTTCACCCTCATTTCACATTTGATTCATACTTGAACCTTAACTAATACATTTACTGTTAGACTGACCTAATACCGTTACAGGAATATTATTTTTAAAAAACTGAAAATTGTATTTTTCTAAATATCACCCCAAAGCAGCAGTTCTAATTTGCTGATTGCACCATTCACACTGTCATTTTTATACAATTTTGTTTATACTTACATCTTTAAATTGAATATTAATTGAACATTTCTGTCAATCCTGTATACATTTTTACAATAGAGACTTGTACCTTAATGTTATTTGGCATTTGTTGGGTTTCCATAGACTGCAGTGCTTCTCCCAGTAGCTCCAGTGCACTCTCACATCGCTCCGTCAAACTTTCCAGACTCTGCAAAATGAAATCTTTATTGAACCAAAGCAATAGGCAAGTCCACCACAGCATTGACTTCCACTGTTCTGTTTATGTAAGCGGCGGCTATGGGAGAGGTCAATAGGAGCCTCATTCTGGGCTGTGTATATATAAGAACACCATAAACAATCTGAGAAACAGTCAGTGGGTACATTTACAAGGCCAGTATAAACACATAAGTACAATAATGAGATAATCAGATAATTAGATCTGATTGTTGGTGTGTGTTTAGAGCACAAGAGAAATCTGACCATCAAAAATACTTGGTAACTGTTATACTTGAAAGTACAGTGGATTTTAAAATAACTTTTTTGAGCTGTAATATTTTCTAATTTGTTTTTGTTTTTGACACATTAGTTTGCCCTTTTGCTCTTTTGCCTAAACTCCTTGTCAAAACCTGAACAAATGTAAACAGTAAGAAAGAAACTCACATCAGATGTAACTGTAACTGATGTAACGTGACTTTTCAGTAATCAGATAACTCCAATAATCAGTTAATAATCAGATTTGGGATGTGCATGGACACATGTGGACACAAGAGAGAGCATTTTTGTACTCTTTCACACAGTTAATCAAGAAGACCACAAATATCCGACCACCAACACACAACACTGTCTCCTCTGCCAAAAACATCTTATCTTCACTTCCTCCCATGTAAAATCCTCTCTTAAATTGTTTATAGAGAGTCACTAATCACCAAAGCAGGGATGAGCTTTGGCTAACAAGAAATTTCACACTATAATAAGTGTTTTCAAGTGTCGTGAGTTGACCAAATAACCAAAGATTTCATTAAGCACCGGATTTTTTGGACTATAAGTCGCTCTGGAGTATAAGTCGCACCAGCCAAAAATGTGATATGAAGAAGAAAAAAACATATATAAGTCACACTGGACTAAGTTATCTTATAAAATCAGAGACCAGGAATCAACATTTCATCTTGAAAGTCAAGTTATAGTACAGGCTGTTAATATCACATATGAGCAATTATTCAGATAACTACAGCATTAACAACAGAACTAGTTTACCAAACTCTACTTCTCACTCCAAATCACTAAACCATTGAATTGTTCATCTTTGGTGTCACTTCTGAGCAACTCCAAACAAAGCGCAGCTTCCTCTTCTGCGTAGCTGTCATCAGACGTAGCATCAGTTCCAGTTAGAATTATTCCGGCCTTTCTGAGTCCCGACAGGATGGTTTTGGTTGTCACTTTGTTGCTACTTGCAGCAGGACAGGGGCTTTTTCTGCAGGAGACATGCGCAGTAGAGCCAAGTGACAGTGGTATAGGAGTAATAGGAGTAGCAGATACTGACACACAAGCCTAGAGTGCCTGAAAATTTTTTTATATAAGTTGCACTGGAGTATAAGTCACAGGACCATCCAAACCATGAAAAAAGTACGACTTATAGTCTGAAAAATATGGTAGTAAGTACAGTTGTCAAAGTATCAAAAATCAGATATTGATCGATCCTGAAACTAGTAATGAAACTAAATACTCATTTGAGCAAGTACACAAAAAATCACATTGACAGGACAGAAATGAACCTTTCCTGATAAGATTTAGAATGATCTTGAGTTGCATCAAAACAAGTATAAGAGCACATAGACTAGTATACGCACATGGGCCACTATGAGAGTACAACGGGGAAAGTCCACCACTCTATTTTCAAATGGTAGCTTTAATGAGGAAAAACATATGACTTTCTGTCCATTTAACTTTCCAAAAACTATAGTGATTATTGCATCAGGCAGTGTTGCGATATCGATATTTCCGGGATATATTTTTCAGGCCTAATTTTAAGTAGGGCGAATTAGGGCTTAACTCTACACGTAATACAAAAGCCAAGCTGTATAAAAGTAACTGAGAACCTGAAGTAACTTTTCACTGCAAAAAGCCGCTCTCACCAGTCTGAAGGAGAGCCAGTCTGAGTGGTTATGGCTGAAATCTCCATCCAGTTCTTTGAGCAGCTGCTGTTTGTCCACGTACTGCTGCAGCACGCTGGTCCCTTTAACTGTGTGGACCTGGAAACAGAAACGAAAACAGATAAACGACTGTAAGTAACCAATAACCAATTTCATACAGAAGTGCAATTCAATCTGCTTTACAAGAAAAACATTAAGTGGTGAAACACATTGCAGGAATCTTTAGGTATTAATTCTATTTAATTATACGTGCTCAAAAATATGTAAACATGCATCTTCATTGTAAGTGGGGTCTCACAGTCTCATAGATCAGACCTGTAATGTGGTTTGGTGGTGATAAGTTTAGACATTTCACCACAGTTTAAAGCTCTATTGAAATTGTTTATTACTCTATAGCTGCACCACATCAAAATTGGAAGTAAACTAGTGTACATGATACTAAAATTTCAAACTTAATTTCGATATTAAAGAACTGATTCAATACTCTATACTGATTTCGATACCATACCTAAGACAGTTGCTCAGATAAAGCTCAAAATGACACTAAAACTGTTCAGAAAGCTCAAATTGTATTAATGAGACTTTTTTTTTTTTTTTTGATACTTGCTCAAAAGAGAAACTAATTTTGATATTAGTTTTAGCATCAATTAGTATCAGACTTTTTATACTTTTGGCAACTTGGACTAAACCTGGACTAGAACAGGACCAAAGTAAGTCTACATTTCGACTGCACTCATTTGTTACTGTTTATTTTATTTGGTTACGATACAAATTTAAAGTCGACATGTAAACACAGAATTTTTTTAACAACTAAATCAAAACATGAGAAAATCAAAGTAGTGCAGTGTTTACAGTTTTCTATATTGTCCACATGTTAAATTACAAAGCGTATGGAGGACATAGTTATAAATTACACCACACTAAATATGAGTTTAAATGAAAGCTGCAGCTGCAACAACCATAATTATCTTTGAGTGGGAGCCCACCATTGAACATGTGTGACTTAACCCGGGCCAAACTAAAACCCGAAACACGTGTCAAACATAGAAACTGCTGATCAATGCAAAACCAATAGGCTGTTACCCATTCAATGGTAAGGGACTGTGTGTGTGTGTGTGTGTGTGTGTATATATATAACTCAGTGTAGAGCCATATGCTGCACATCAAACAACACATGGTCATTTATTTCTGCATATATTGGGTTTCATACACAAGGATTACAGATGTTAAACAATACGAAAGCCTTGCTCAGTTCATTTTCAGACAAAGGAGAATTAAATATATTATATACTTGTGTTGCACGATACTGTGGGTGGTTGCTTTTGAAAGAAGCCATGATAGATAGAAAATATTCTTTGTATAGAAGTTGATATATTGTTTATGGATTGGATCTCTTGAAGATAAATAATGAATCCATTTGAGAGTGAGTTTTTGGAATATAGACCAAAGTTTATTCTTGTTACAGCAGATATGGACAGGGCCTAGGCCTGCCCTGGCCACAGTCCAACTGCCTCTCCTCCAGCAGCATGTCCCTTCTCCATTTGACCCGAGTCTCTACCCAGTCTCTGCCCCGTATCTCCCCAGTATCTGCCCAGTATGCCCCACAATTTTACAAAGCACCAAGTTTATATATCCTGAGATGACCAGAAGACATACATTTCAAAGTGAGAAGGTGACGACTCCTACAGAGGTGTGACCAGATGTGCTTGATCTGATTTGCCTCCATATTCACTTGCATTTATCACTTCCTGACAAGATTAGCAAGAAAAAGGGAACAGAAGTATTTACATTGAAGGATCTTTCTAACAAGCCAAATGAGTTTTAGTTACAAGACCAAATGTGTTTCCAAAAGATAAACTAATCACTACTTTAATGTAATCAATCATAATCAGTATTTTCCTGGGGCGGTCTGGTCTCAGGTTGAAATCACATTCATTTACACAAAGACAGAATGAGAGAAATCTTTCCACAATCTAAATTTCTGTCACATGGATGTTTAATGGAAGAAGGATAGGGAAGTGCACATATGAGGTCACTAAAGTGCACATGAGAAAGCCACAGGAACTCTTATTTGTCCATGGCAGATATATTTAGACCATAGACTGTATAAACAACTGGTCTAAAGGGAGTAGGGCATCACCCACAGCGCTCAGCTCTAGTCAAATGAAGCTCATGAGGCTAGCAGTTATAGGAGCAAATTTGGAGCCAGGTCCATGTTAGGTACAGGAAGTTATTTATGGACATAATAGTGAACTAAAAGCACCTGGATCATGTAGAGTGGGTTTATATGGACATTTTAACAGCGAAGCTCACTGCGGCAGTTACAAAGAGAGTCGCGACCATTTTCCAATTTGTAAAGTCAATTGTAAACAGAGTTGTAGGAGCCAGAGGCGCCCCCATGATCACTTCCTATTTGGAATGTGGAGGCTAGCGGGTGACTTATGTCCATTCACATAAACAGTCTATTGTTTAGATAGTTGATGCAGCCTGTGATCCTACTGCAATTGGCCAGCCAACACTTTTCCTATGCTTTATATGAGACATGTAGTCTGAGCCCTTGTCTGATCTGTGTTCAGATGAGTATGATGGACAGACAGATTAGACATTCAGAGATAAGCATGGTTTACCCATCTCAAAACACACATGGCTGTTTTGCCCTGTCTATAATGCCTCAGAGGCCACCAGGGAAGCCCAAACCCACTTTTGGGAACCACTGCTAACAAGCCTTGTAATTTGCTGTTGTGTAAGTGGTCCATTAGCCATGACATCATTCTTGTTTTTTTCTTTGCAGACAAGGCAAAGGCAAAACCAAAAAAAAAAGTAAAATGCAATGCAAAATACAGTACAAAATAGGACATATATGTGACAATAACAGAAACAAATACACACACAGAAAAAATAAAGAAAAAAAAATTAAAATAAAGAAATATAAAATGACATGACATCATTCTAAACCAAAATGTGGGATCACTTGATTGACTGATTGATTCACCTGAGCAAATAAATAAATAAATACATTTACACAAGTGCCTCACCTCAGTTCCCTCCAGGTTCAGAGAGGTACACTCCTGATTCTCCTCGACCAAAACCAGGACCGACCCGAGACCACCAGGAACCTGCTCCTGTGAACATAAGGCAGCTCACTGTTACCTCTCAATGAATTAAAACTAACAACCTGAACTAGCGTCTAACACATTGATCCACATTCACCTGGAAGAGTTTAAGTGCAGAGAGGCAGATGGGAGAGGGAGGGGCACGTCTGCTGTCCATTAAGAGCGTGAGACCCTTTTCTTTGGCTGCCGGGCTGATGAAGAACGATAACAGGAAATACAGTTAGGGCGAGGAATAAAGGAGCGCTGATTAAAACCACAGGATTAAACATAATAGGAATCATTAATTAAGTACCACAAAGGAACTCAAATTAAGATAAATTCATTTCAAGGGTAATTCAATTTCAAGTGCATGTACTTAAAATTGAATATATACTATTATCAGACAAAGGTAAAAAAAAAAAAAGGAAGAAATCGAGCTGATAGCAGATTACATTTTCGGTTGACAGATCTAATATTTTATGCATTAATCAGGCCACAACTTTGAACACAGCCTTGGTATTTCATGTATTAAAGGGTAAATCTATGTATCTGAATATTGTCTGAACTGTGGTGTTCTTTTTGCGCGTGTGTGTGTGTGTGTGTGTTTTTTTTTCTGGTCGAATTGTGTTAAATAAAAGCTCAGATAAAAGTCTAACAGAGCCTGAGACAGAGCAATGCCTACAGTTAGCATCATACCCCCAGGAAATGTTCATGATATCAGCTGCAAAGTATCAATACTAGTTTAAAATTAGAATCAAACCAGAATTAAACCTGGACAGGGAAACTAACTTGTGTTTTTTCCATACAAGTGCAGTTTAAAAGCAATTGTTGCAGACTTTGGGAATGATGAACTTAAAGATTATTTAATGTGTGCATTTTCAAACAGATAAAATAATAACATTTCAAAGCATTCAGTCTATAGATTCATAATGATCATCGTAAGTCTCCTCACCTGGTTATCTGGTGATAACAGGCCAACACTCGTGCCATCTCCCCCTCAGTGAAGCCCTCCTCTGAAGCATCTGTGTCTGTGAAAACCAGAGCACGTCCCAGTCTGTCCACTGTACCTGTCCCAGAAACAAAACAACAAAAAGGTTTGGACAATAGCAAAAACTTAAACTATGGTGTATTTCCTAATCTAAATGTCATCTTGTTGCTTATTTTTAAAAAGGCCCATGTTACAAATCCTGCATATTTGGCTGAGTTCTTCTCTCAAACAGAAAACAATAAATAGAGGAAGTGCTCCATCATCTTTTTAAATGTTTAACTACTAATTGGAGGTTTTCAATGTGAATGCGATGCTGTCATAATCCCAGATAGGGCGCAAGAGACACTTTTCCCTGTTGATAACATTGACATACCGTATTTTCCGGGCTATTAGGCGCACTCTTAAGCCTCCAACCCCATCAAAAAACGACTGCGCACCCCGCAATCCAGAGCGCCCCATACACGAATCCACTCGAGTGTCCCAACACAACTTCAGTAAACTACAAAGCCGCACCACCCACAGCGCACACAAACACGCACGGATCAGACAGCGACCTCACAGTGAAAAACACCCGCAGCCACACTCATCACTCCACACCGACGAGGTGCAGAACGGAGGAACGAACCGAAAAAGCGAGTGCAATGTGCCACTTCTAGACACAACTGAACAACTGAGTCACTGCGAACACGCCGACAATCCAGTGGTCCCAGACAGCACCCTCCCTACACGCCACAACTGAACAAAGCCCAGAGTCACCGTGAACGCACCAAACAAACTCCCACTGACCCATCCAACTGTTGTGTTTCATTTAAAGTCCGGTGCGGTTTATTTGTGAAATAAGATAGAAAATAGACCATTTAATGTGCGCCTTATAATCCAGAGTGCCTAATAGTGTGGAAAATACGGTACATTGTACTTTGCCATACAATATCCAAAAGGTAAATTCCCACATGTTCAACCTGATCATTTCTTTTAGTAACTACACCAATGAACTTGCTGTATTACAACTAACCTATAGAATGTTGTATTGTCATCTGAAATCCAGCAATATTTAAATCTTTCAAAATAAGAAGACCAGGAGGTAGGCGGGGATGATGAGCTCTGTACCTGTGAGCTTGAGTTTTCCAGACTGTAGCAGCTCCGGGTCCAGTCCCTGCAGCGAAGGTGGGTTTTTAGATGAGACTCCATTCATTTGCCCTGAACACGTGTCCGCTGAGTCGTGCTCGTCTTTGCAGTGGTTTGATAAGGGTTTAGAGACGGCAGGTTGTCCATTACACAATACCTTAGTCTCTTCATCTGTCAAAGACACAGTGGGTTTGACCAGTAATAAGTAACAGTAATGAAGATAATGCAGAGTTACAAGAGCAAAGTGGTAAAATAAAAGGTCCACAATGAGACAGATAAAAGATAAATGAGGGTTGAAAATAATAAAAACTAAATTTTTCATATCAGGCTGATGCACACATCATAAAACTGGGACTAGCAGACCATGGCTAAACTAGGACAGGACCAAACAAAGTCTACATCAGGACTAAACCAGGATCAAGTCAATGGACTCATTTCTATTATTACATAGATTTAGATCAGAAAAAAATTATAAAATCATTATCTACATATAGTACAGTTTAATACTTCAGAGTGTCTTCTTTCATGATTTGATGAGTCAAACATTACCTGTCTTTGCTTCAGTCGTGTTTTTTACAGTGGTCTCTGGCTCCTCTACAGATTTACACTGTTCTGTCCTGTTCTTCTCACTCACAGGGAGAGTGGAGCGAGCAGCAGCTCTAGTCTGAGCTTTCACTCCTCTCTGATGTGTACGACCTCCGGACCGGCCTCTGGCTTTAGCCCCTCTGCCCCTCCTCTTCCTCCTAAAAACACAGTGGATATGGAGGTCAAGCAGACAGATTAGATATACAGAAACAACATGATGCTGGCCCTCGCCCTGGTGCACATGTCGATAATATACCAAATATACCAAATATACCAAATGTGAGCTCATTTGGACCAAAAAAAACAGGCACTAGTAGCATTTTACAAACACGCAAAACTAACGGCAGATATTTGATCCAATATGGCCAACTTTCTGTTCATCATAGAGGAATTGCGTCAATTCAACTTTTGGCTTGTCTTATTGTTCGCTATCACTGTTCCGAATTTTGTTTGCCGATACCAAACTTTGCTTGTCCCCACTCTCATAGCGTCCACCTCTAGGTGGTGCTGTTAAGTTGGGTCACTATGAGCATTGTCACAATGCCCATTTTATCAAATTTTTCACTGGACCGGTCAGTCCAATACCCGGTTTGGGGACTTTTTTGTTGACGTTTCAGCCCTCAAAATTACAATCATTTGCAAGGAAAAATAATAATAGAGAAGAAGATATTGGTATAATTGTTCAGCAAAATTAGTAATGAACAATAATGAACACACTTGCTTCTCTGCTGAAAAAGATTGTCCTCAGTTGTTTACCTGACAGAGGCTTAGTAATCACCTTCTGAATTAAGATGTTTATTTCAAGATGCATAGAGGTCTGCTACTTGTCTCTTAGATGTTATTGTTTTACCTGGAATGTTCCATCAAATGGCATTAAATATGTTTATTCAATTACACATGTTGTTATTGTTCAAATTATCTTAAAAACATGCATTCTTAAAACGAGCAGCCTCACCTCTCCACAGATCTAATCTGTAACTTGGCCTGGTGGCTACACCTACTTATCTTCGTAGTGTTCGTAGTGTGGAATAACAACAACATGGAGCCAGCAAGCAGCAGGGCTTTCACAAGAAAAAATAAAAACATAGTGTAACTTACAACTAGAGTCTGGTCTCTCTGTCAGGACACTTGGCTGTGATGTGTACATTCTTAAATATGTGTTAGCAAATAAAATGAGTACCTTGGCACTCTGAATCCTGCTGTTCTGACCTCCTTCCCCCTCGGACACACTCGCTCCTCTGTTTTCCTCCTCTCCTCCTCCTCTTCAGTCACTTTCACTTCACATGAGCTACTGCTAAGTCCAGGTTTCTTAGGTAAACTTCCTTTTGCATTTTTAACATTGCACTTTGTCGAGTTGTCGCTTTGAGTTGAAAATTGTACTTCAGTTGTGTCTGACGTAGGTGTAGTGGCATTGCTGTCTCCGCTCAGTGGTTTGTCCGTGTCCTCAAAAACTGAATCCGATATGTCAGACTGTCCTTCTGTTGTAACATCATTATTTGTAACTTCATTCGCTTCGTCTATTGCGCTTTCTTTTAGGTCAGAATTTGCACTACCGTTGCTGTCTCTTTCCTTACCAACTCCTGGTTTTCTCTCTCGGAAAACTCTGTCAAAATTAAGTCTGTTACCATCCAAAGTTTCAGAGTCTCTGCTAGTTCGATCGCTCTCGTCTGAATCCTGTATTGAAGAAGAATATGATTTTCCTCTCTGTTCCACAGGACGTAGTGGAAGTCGTGGAGTTATATTTTCCTTCGACGATGTTGTATCTTTACTCCTCGCAACCCGAAAACTACCTGAACCATACGTTTTGCCTTTTTTCAATTTGATAGCTTTACCTCTGCGAATTAAAGGTAGCGTTTTGGTTTTGGAAATCGCATGCATTTCCAGGTACCGCTGTTTGTTGTCTACACCGCCATCTGGCCCTAATCTTGGTTCCAGTAATTCCACATAGTCCCCATCCAGGTGAGGAGGTCTGGCTGTTCTTCCAAGCCCGTCCTCACTGCGTCGTCTTCGGCAACGCCAGAACCAAGGGAAGGGTCGTCATCCTCCTCTTCATCCCAGGACCAGGAGTCGATTTCCCCAGATGAGGAGCAGCCCCAGCCCCCCTCACTGGAGAGTCGATCCGATAAAGAGGCCCCGTGGTCGGACATCAGATCTGCAGTGGGGTCGTGGATGAACTTGGGGTAGACCACCTCTTTCCAAGGCAAACGCACCACACCGTCACAGGTACTGACCAGGCATGTGTCCAGACCACCGCCAACTGTGGAGAGGGGAAAATGTGAAAAAAAATGATATATATATATATATATATGTCAATGTAGTGAAGAAATGTAACAGACTAAATGTACTGTATTTAAGTAAACATTTGAGGTATCTGTTTTGAGGAAGCAGATACTTTTTACTTTTGCTTCACTACATTTGAGAGCAGGTATCTGTACTTTCTACTCAAGTATTCAACTAAAGTATTTTTATTATACACCTGCTGAAAAGGCTGAGGGCTTATTTGTAACACATTTGTAGTTTGAGCAAACGAAATACTAGAATAAAACAAGCAATTCAGTTTTATTTCTCTTGAACAAAATTCAGCACAAATCTTAACCAAAGTCACTGGATTTGAAGCCTCATAAGACCTGAAAATCTGCACGAAATACATTTTTTACAGTTTAAGTATATTTTTAACAGGTACTTTAATGCTTTTACTTAAGTAGATATTTTCATTTAATACTTAAGTAAAAGTACAGATACTAGAGCAAAAAAATACTCAAACAAAACTGAGTACTTCTTCAACTACATGTGCACAAAAGCTTTAAAATTTGAATACATGGGATGATTAAAAACTGCAATTATCGATTCAAAAATAAACCTATCTTTTCAATGGTAAATGGCACCTATAAACAGGAACTTGAAACCCATAAATACACTGTTAATTATATTAAAAAAAAAAAAAAAAACACTCCAGCTATCACATATAATGAAGGGACTGTAAAAGGTTACAAATATTTTTACAGTCCTTTATTGGTTACATGGGATGACCTGCTTTGACCTGCTTTTTTACGCTTATCACAGTATTTATACTACAAGCATCATCCACTTCACTGTTTGCCTTTGAGCCATGTCCTTGAGGAGCACATGTTCTGAACTTGCTTCTAAGGACATGTCATTGCTCTGCCTACAATGTTCCACAGTATGACTCTACCTTAGATTTTATAGCTATGAATACCTACAAAAACAGATATTCTGACTTTGAGTGGGGTTGCCTCTCTGCAGATCTGACCTGTAACTTGGCCTGGTTTGGTCTCCGTGAAGATAGAAAAGTTTAATGTCATACTGTCAAACATTCCAGACAAAGGAATAACATCTCCATGGAGAAAAGTATTTGACGAACATTTCACCAGAAAAGTTACACAACGCACCTTCAAAAGAGGATTTGGATTTTAACTCTATGGAGGAGGCACGTCATCGGCCTGATTCCATGGAAATAGAAAATTAAAACCACAACTAATATACTTCGGAACACTCCAAATAAGAGATTTGTGTAAGGATACATGTTTTTCTGTGTACTAAAAGGAAAAAAAAACCCAACATGCTTTGTTCTAGGTTTTGGGGGGATAAAACGTTACATAGTATGACTTTAAATGGATGAAGTTCAAATTATAGTAGACGACATAAAAATAAGTGCATTTTATAAACAAAAATGTGTGTGTGTGTTTTGTTTTTGTTTTTTTTTCAATACTGCACCACCTGTTTTAAGTCACAGATGTCTGCAGCCTGTCTCAGTCTCTGCTCCTCCAGCTGTGTGCCATCCTCACTGTTTATCTTTCAGTTGCACAATCTCTTTAACTGCACTATGTAACATCCTGCTGGAGTTACAGTTACAAGCCAGATCTGTGAAGAGGCAAGCCTGCTCACATACATAATACATGTTTATCAAGATGTCTTTGAGCAACAAAACGACTGCAATTTAACAAATGTAGGATTGAGAAGTTTAATGCCATGCTGTGGATTATTTCAGGCAAAGCAGTAACAAGTGTTCAGAAAAATTACATAGCGCATCTTTAACCCTAACTTCAGATACTTTTTGTTACAACATTGTTTGCAAATTATAATCATAGTCTAAAAGCTCAAAGCAGCTAAAATAACAGGAATATATATGGTCTATTTTACATCTAATAATTGAAATAGGCTGATGAGTGGTTCACACGGCTTCACCGGAGTCAAGATTTACAGTTGTTTTCTGGTTAATAACAAACCACACCGGACACCTACGTATTACCTCAATGTGTCAGTTGCCTCTGCAGAGACTATCCACAGCTCGTAAACTTAACATCTGTTTTTGTGTCTTTCCTTCAGAGTCTTTTCTCCCTGGCACAAAATCAACAACACATTTTCACCTTGGGAATTCTGAGCTTTTCAATCCTTTGGGCGAAACTAATAAAAGGATTTCCATTTATTAATGGACTGTTTGATGATTGGTTGCTATGACAATGACGTGTTAAGGATGAAAACAAGGCTATTTTTTCCCAAACTTTCCATAGTGTGTGGGAAATCTGGAACCTTCCTGTATAAATATTCTATAACTGTCATTTTTTCTTTGGGGATTTTGGGAGTTGAAGAAGTAGATGTAGTTTGAATTTATTAAAGCTATCCTGTATAGAGCAGCTGTATTATGGGCTTAAAGGTGCACCTTGTAAAATTTCTGGTCTCTATAAATACTGTATGTCTCTTTAAATATAATGCCATATTGTGGAACATTTCAGCAATGCAAAACCACCTGGAGATCAGCAGATTGTGAATAACCTGATAATAAAGCAGAATGATATAAAAGAGTTTTCCCTATTGATTACATTGTACTTTGCCATGAAATGTCCAAAAGGTGAATGCACAAATGTTGACAACTTATATTCTTGATTGGATCTAAGGTGTCACTGTATTACAATAAAGATCTGCATATACAGTACCAAGATTCATTTTTAGCAGCTACCATCCGTAGTGATCGTTTTTGGCCTAGGGCAGGGGTTCTTAACCTTTTTGATCTCGAAGCCAGATCTTTTCTATACAAAGCAACCCGGGGTCCCATCTCATATTAAATGCATTGTATTGTATCGTGGGCCCTGAAGGAGGTGCTTACTGCCCTACTTTGGACCCTGGCCCTATGGTTAAGAACAACTGGCTGAACCCTAACAACTAGGGCTGTGCAAAAATATTGAAATATCGATAGATCATATCGTTTAATGTGATGATACAGTATCGATACTGTGGGCTGCTGTATCGATATATCACGAAAAATGTTTTTTACAAAGTTATTTTGTTACAGTGCTACAGTTTTGTTGCTTGTTTAGTGGAAGGAAAAACTTGTTTATGTAACACACTTGACATTTTCACTGTTTTGATGATGAAAATGGGTGTGTTTCATATGAACTTTGCATAAGAAGTGGTTTAACAAAGACGTTTAGTATCACAGCCATGATTTAGCTTTTTCTTTTTTTTTATTGAGCAGTATTGAATTGAATTGAAATATATTGTATTGAATTGTATCGAATCATAAGCTCACTGTATTGATGTATGTATTGTATTGGCAACTTCTAAGTGATAACCAGCCCTACTAACAATAGCACTTTACACACTCTATCAGTCTGTTAACACACTTGCTGCTTGGTCGAAACAGAACAGCAGAGAAACAAACAGAGAAATAAAACTTAAAGGTAAATCTGTGTAGGGGACAGCCTGCTGACTGGAGTTATGCATGTTCTTTGAGCAATAAAAACACCCATAATTGAATGAATGGAAGATGGATAATTTTAATGTCACATTGAAACATTTCAGACAACATAATACTCCATCAATCTCCATGGATACTAGTAAGCGTTGGACTCTCTACCCGACAAGTTAGACAATGCATATTTCTTGCTCTGTACCTTCTCGTTTGTGCCCGCGCTCTTTGTTGATACTGTGGAGCCACTCGGACGTGAACACTAGAGGATGCTGGGACTCAGGGACCAGGATCTCCTGCACCGTGCGGCCTCCGGGAGCCAAACACTTAAGGGCCAGACGAGGACACCGCGTGGAGAACGGCACCACCTGCAGGTAGAAGTCATTGCTGCGCAGAAGCCTCCAGTCCAGAGTCGACAGCTGGACCACCACCTTCTCGCCCAAACATAGAGGCCAGCCCGAGTGGAGGAACAGGCATCCGGTGTACTGCGACTGAAACCACAAACAAAGTCCATTTAAGAAAGTAAACACACAATACCATCAATCCACCAAAACATTTATTTTTCATCACCAACCACATCTGTCAGTTTTTGACTATAACAAAAATGTAACAGTTCGGCCTATAGTCCTCTTAGTCAACAGCCGAAAGCTTCTCCATCCACTCATCTGAAGGTTGGACATCAAAATCATTGGGACAACAGTAAGAACCACTGACCCTCAAGTTGGAGGTGCAGTTCCAGCTCCCACAGTTGAATGCTGTTGTTGTGTCCTTGGGCAAGACACTTAACCCACCCCCAGTGTCTGCATACACAGGTGTATGAATGTGGGTAAGTGGTCCCTTCATGTAAAGTGCTTTTACTGCCTTGAAGGTGGAAAAGCACTATATAAAAATGTGACAATTTACCTTTAGTCAACCCATTTTTTTTATTAGTTGAGTAATTATTTTATTAAGACTAACTCAGCTCTTCTCCCTGGCATTTAATACTAACTAGTCAGGCTATCTTGGGGTTTTATTGTAGTTTTCATATGTATTTTGCTACCTGTATATGTATGTGTATATGTATATGTATGTGTATATGTATATGTTTCTTTTGTTTTTGTTGACTTTTATGTGAAGCACTTTGGTCAGCTGAAGTTGTTTTAAATGTGCTATATAAATAAACCTGAATTCAAGATTATAATAACAGAACAGTATTTCTCTTTTTAATGATTTGTGAAAGGAGCAGTGAATAAATAAATAAAAGATATAAATGATTTTTTTCAGAGATTTTGTCACAGCCCTAACTTTATTCCTTTTAAAAATTACAAACTATTTCAAAAGATTCATATTCTAACTTTTTAAATTGAGACAATAAAGATGAACTGTGTAACCTTTTTGCAAGGACTGATCCGCAGTAAGATAGAAACATTACATGCACTTTTACCGTAAATAAATCAACAACAAAACACATCTAAGAAAATAAGATGTTGAATAGGTAGTTTATCTCAAATTTTAGATGAATGCCCTTGTCCCACCTTTTGAAAATCCTGGATCAGCCTGCTATCTCCTCTGGCAAAGTGTGGACTGTAGAAGACATAGTGCCTGTCTCAGTGCCATATCTAAAGCCTCTCCCACACGCCCTCCTCGCTCATGGGACCCCCTCCTCGCTCACTCACGAGACATTATCGAATTAGACTGTCAACTTACCGCATGTCTCACCCCTCCTCCCACTCGCTCAGATGCCAGGCATAGTCCAGACTGAAGCCAACCAAAGCACAGTTTTATATTGGGAGGTCATAAAATTGTATAAACTAAGAATTAAAGACTATTGAATTAAAGATGATGTGTTGAGTTTTGTTGACTTAAAAAACATGAAAAACAGAAACAGTTCATAGTTCAGCGGTTTGTAGTGGTTCAAAGTTATTCCTCACTTTCGTAACGCGATTCATAACATCCTAATTATTCACCGCGCTTTTCACAACCTCCAGAGTCCAGAGGGGAGTTTTGCCGTCACTGTAATGCAAAAAAAAAAAAAAAACTAGCATGCTAACTGCACACCAATATAACTTCCTGGTTTTACAATGTGTTTGAACTGTGGAAAGGCAAATTCTACTTTATTGTATGAAAAAGAGTTTTAAGGGTTTGGTTATAAACTTTGTACTTTCAGTTCCTAGACACTGAATTGAAGCCACTGCAGTTTGTTTCACAACCTGAAGCTTCCACTGGAAACAGCGTTAAAATGACCTAACCACAGCAAAACTATGGCGATATTAAACAAAACAAAACTATAACATTTAAGCTATGGCAACAGGATCAAGTCTATGCCACGTTAAAATACGGTTTGGTCTTGTTTTGGGTCCGCTTCTCCTTTTCTAAATTTACCCCTGTTTTCGGATGTTTGGCCTTAAAGCGTGAGTCAGTCCTCTCTCTCCTCCTCCTCCCTCGCTCTCAATGCGCCTCAGTGTTCTACGCTCCCCTCCTCCGGTTTCCCAGTGCTTTCTCAATCGCTCCACTCTTCTGCTCTGTGGAGTTTAAGCTGCTAAAACTAACCACATACTAGGACTGTCAGACTAATCACTACTGAAGACACAGTCCGAATGGTCACAGTCGCTAGTCACTGTAACGGCAGGAGTTATTTAGATAGTGTAACATGCATTAACAATATTTAGACATTCTCTGAATAACATATGACTTCACTTTAAAATGTTCACTGTCCACAAAACCCTCAAAAAAGGGAAATTGAAAGACTATTAATAGCAAAATATTAGGAAGTAATGCATGTGTTGTTAGTGTTAGTCTGGAAGATTAGTTTCAGTTCAAACTACATTTCAAATTGAATAGATGAAATTGACAAATCGCAAAGTACCATAATTCCCTCCACAAACATCAACATAAATAAAAGTTTATTTGATCTTATTTACTGTTTTATTCTACATAAAAACTGCAAACCCTGTAGTTTTGACCTGTTCTGAAATCTGATTCTTGTATTAGTTCATATTTCAGTCTTTTCATTTTTTTGGGGACATTTTTTTTTTCAAAATCCAACCTCAATCGCAATGCTTGTCAAATAAATCACAATTTGATATTTTCCGTAAATCATCAAGCCCTAATTATCATGCTAGTTGTTTATGCATGGCATGACAGAAAACTCAGAGAGCTGTGAAATATCATAAACTCATCACAGTGAATAATTAGGATGCTGGAAAAGTTAAGAGAGGAATAATTTTAGACCACTTCAAACCATTTAAGATGATTTTTTTCCCTCTCATCGTCCTCTCCTCATCCCCTCATCACCACCTTCACTCTCCTCATCCTCTCATCATCCTCTTCTCTCTACTCATTCTCTCATCATCTCCTTCACTCTCCTCATCCTCTCATCATCCTCTTCTCTCTCTTCATTCTCTCATCGTCTCCTTCATGCTCCTCATCCTCTCATCGTCCCCTTCTCTTTCCTCATCCTCTCATCACCCCCTTCTCTTTCCTCATCCTCTCATCACCCCCTTCATCTTTCCTCATCCTCTCATCACCCCTTCTTCTCTTTCTCATCCTCTCATCATCCCCTTCTCTTTCCTCATCCTCTCATCGTCCAGTGTCCAGGCCCCAGGAGGAAGACAACTCCTAAATGTCATGCAACCAGCCGCGCCCTTCATCACAATGTCTCCTGCTGGTGTCTGAGCACTGGAACAAACTCTCTCAATAAAACTACCAGAACTTTCTTTCTTTCTTTCTGCCTTTTTGTCTGCGTCTCTCCAGGTTGAAACGCATTAATATTTATGCAGACAGAGTAAACTGAATCCAACTGCACAATCTTGTATTTCCACTGCTGTTCTGCCCTCCAATCTTTCCCTGCAAACACATATGGAAGGAATTAGTATCATGACTCACATTCTAACTCCTGAGTCTCGGGCAGCGACAATGAAAACACAGTTCACAATGAATCTGCATGTGAGGCCAGGAAAACTCTATAAAAGCAAAGTTTGTGTATTGTTAACCGGCAAGACGATGTAAACTTGGATAGCATGACTCGGAGGAAAGAATGTCAGGAGTGTTTCTGACCATATGATGTGTACAAGAGATAAGTTGTACTGCCCAAAGAGATATAGAAAGTCATTATGTTTGGTTAAAGGTCCTATATTACACAAAACTGACAAAATTGAGCTTTTACACATGTTAAAATGTTGTTACTGCCTCAAAAACATGCCTGTGGGTGTGAGAGTATAAAAGCCCCCTCGTCCCGGTTTATTATCCCATGGGCACGTTTCCGTATTTCGATTGCCTCTTTAATCAAGCGACAGTGTTTGTTTTCCTCTGTCCCAATGGCGTTTGCTCCGTCCCAGTCCATAATGTGATTTTCTCTTTTACAGTGGTCAGAAATGGCCCAATTGAGTTGTTTCTAGGGGTGATATCCAAGTCTCACGGTACGATATAGTCACGGTATGAACCTCACGGGACGATATTTACTGCGATATCATGGGAAAGCTCACGATATGGTGGTGAGGCTCACGATTAGGGATGTAACAATATCCAAATCTCTTGGTACGATATTTCCACAATATACATCTAACGGTATGATATTAATTGTGATATTTTGTGAAGCTAACAAAACTGTTAGTCTGCTTTTTGATCTTAAAATGCCTTGACAAGACTTAATCCAAAGAACTAAGACTTAAAAGTGCTTAGAACTGTTATTTTTTCATGTAGTCTGCACTGAAACAAAGCAAAGGATCATGGTCTATGTCTTTTTTTTAGCTATTGCTGCACCATAACTTTTAGTTTAAGCAAAGAGACTTGATTTGTGATAGTCCATGATATTATTGTGAGAACTCTGACGATACAATATCACGATATTTCGGTTATTGCTACATCCGTAGTTGATCCTGTTCTGCTTTGTGTTTTGTTGCTCGTGTTTCGTCTTCGTTGTTTCCTTCTCGCATTCTGTTCTATGTTCTTTTTTCGTGGACTGAACTCCCACCCCGTTTCCCCGATGTATGTTTTATTGCAGGACATGCAGGGTATTTTGTATATGACGTTACATTTATGCTCCGGTTCTATTTTGTCTTTCGGGTGGACAGGTAATTGCCTGAGTTTTCTGTACGGTTTCACTGATGTGTTGATATTGTGTTTTCTAATTGCCCTCTGCACTTTTTCTGCTATCCCCTTGATATATGGTAATGTTACCATCCCTGTGCTCTTTTTTCTGTTTTATTTTTGTTGTTTTATTGTTGTTCTTTTTGTCATCTTGCCTCCACCGGTAGGAAGACAGCACCAAACCTGTATAAACATGCCTGGAGTTGTGTTTTGTTTCATTCACACGTGTTTGAATAATTCTTTGTTATTAGTCTGTTTACATCTCCATAGCTCAAAATGTGCTGCTGGTAGTTTTCAAGTTAACAGTTACCTTTTACCCTTTGCTCAAATAAAGATAGCACTTCCAGGGCAGGTGCACTTTTAAAACATGGTGGAGCACTTCCTGTATTACTACATGACATCACAAGCTGGAAGAGGGTGTAATTAGTTTGAGAAGAACTTAGAAGCCTACAAATGCAGGATTTGTGTTAAACATGTGTGAATGAAGCAAAACACAACTCCAGGTCTGTTTTTGACAAGGAGGTAACGTTACAACATAGATCGGAAAATAGTGTAATATGTGCCCTTTAAGTCAGTCATAGTTTAGACCTGGTTTGATCCAATTCTTGTCCTGGTTTAGTCCTAATTTAGTCCCATTTGAGTGTGCACAATACACAGCCTTTAGTTTAATACTTTGTTTATCTTATTACTAAATATTAAGTCCTAACTGAACACAACTGTAAACATATTGAATTCAAGCTATTTCATTTGTGTAGATTTTCCATTTGGCAGTGAATCTATGCTCCACACACACACACACACACACACATTCCCAGGGCAGGAAACCACCTCTTTTGTCTGGGGGTCACAGGGGCTAGTTTATCTCAAATTTCACCAGCCACTTTCACTTGAGGATTGCAGGCAGACCCGACCCTCCACAGAGCTGTCGGAAACTGAAACAGGTCAAGACTGTGTCAAACTATGAACGTGTGAACTTGATTTGGGCTGAGGCCTTGAGGTCTTCATTTGTCTTCACTTGTCTTCTCCGGTATTTCCAAAAGATCACAATAAAGACTAATAAAAATGGAGGGTGGTACGACTGACTGCAGTTTGACAAGATTAGATTTATGATTAGTCTGTCTGCATCAAAAGCTCAAAATGCTCTGTTCCACATTGTGATGTCATGTCATGTAGTTTTCAGCGTAACGGCTACTTTTTGTTAAGTAGAGATAAAAAAATTCCAGAGCTGATATTATCCAAATGATTCTAGCAAAGGTGTATGAAGAGTAAAACATAGTGTAACACTTCCTGTATCACCACATGACATCACAAAGTGGAACAGAGTGTTTTCTGTTTAAGAGAGGTTTATATGTTAAACATGTGTGAATGAAATAAACACAACTCTGGATATATTTTTTGATGAAGAGAACATTATCATCAACATCCATCTGGAAAAAGCGTAATATTGGCCTTTAAAGTTGTTACTAAGAATCATTCTCAATAAACAATCTCTTCATTATGAATTAAATCTTTGTTCATGCTTTTTTAAGGCTAATTAAGATGTAGTTATTATACGTGGTACTTTTTATGAGACTTCCAAAAGGTGGATGTGCATTTTTCTTAATCATAAAATTGTTGCAAACACGATTTTTGTTTGTTTTTTGTTTTTCCATTTGGGAGCTGTTTGTGCTCCTGATCAGATGTGTGTCCTTGTGGGTGAGACTTACACAGGCGTGCTGCTGAAGCTTGTTTAAAAGATGTTTGGCTGGAACAAAGTAGTCCAAGAGGTACCGCAGACTGTCATGTTGATATGTCGATTCCAAAACAGAGAAGACCTGAAAGAAAGAACAACTGTTGTAATCAGGGTTGTATCAATACTGGAAAAAAATACATAAATTGGAAAACATTTGACCTTTAAAGAAGATGTATTGTGCTTTGTCTTATATAAAATCAAAATGCATAAATTATCATGTTATATTTTGGACATTTTAAAACACAATATTGATCTAAAACGACTTTAAGAAGGGCTACACAACACTACTGAATCCTGCATGTGTGTATTTAAGAAAAACAAACCGAGTACAGAGCAGTGAGTGTGTACGAGGGGTCGGGGGACATGTGAATTTTCATGGCAATAAAGATTTCTCAAACATGCATGAATCTCTTCAGAATATAACTTACAACATCTTTAAAAGCTCTTAAAAGTCAGTTCATTGTATATTGGGCAAAACAGACTCTTGTGAGCTTTAAGCTGTGTTATAATGTTGTTACCTCATCGAAATCATACCTGGAGTTGTGTTTTGTTTCATTCACACATGTTATCCATTATTATTATCTGTTCCACCTTGTGATGTCATGAAAAGTATGGAAATTGCCCATATGTTTCTAGAGGAGTTGTACGGTGTGGAAAACTTTCTGTACTACCACATGACATCAGAAGGTGGAACAGAGTGTTTGCTGTTCTAAGAAAAGAAGTTTGTGTGTTTGTGTTTGTGTGAATGAAACAAAACACAACTGCTGGTATGATTTTACTGAGGAAACAACATTATAACATAGACCAGAAAATCGCATAATAAAAACCCTTTGAAAGAAAACATTTTGTGTTGGAAAAACTATTGTACTAAAGTATCGTACCAACGCCCAGTGAAATTAAGTGTTTGTGTTGGATAATAAGCCACAAACCACCTACTGCACTGTGCCGTCTGTGCTGCTTAGTGAAAACCTTTTATCAATAAAAATGAGTTTCTTGTGAACAAAAAGAAACCATTGTTTAGAAACTGGCAGGCAATTTCTGAGTGTGTCCAGTGGGTTTTGCAATTGCTTCCTCTTCCCAAGATTGGAGAAATGTACACAGTACAGAGTATTGTAATCAGAATGCAAAAGAAAATATTTCACTGGCTTGTATATAATATTTTGATGAGAATTAATGTGCAATTCAAGTATTGTATAAGCTACATGGGGAGGAGCACAGCAAAATATGGTAAGGTATGTTTGTGAATAGTAGCTGGGCCAATTTTGACTGGAAACTGGCTTACAATTTGTTTATTTGGTCATTATGGTATTTTTGGATCAAAATCATACCTGGAGTTGTGTTTTGTTCCTGCATATTTAGACTGATGTTCTGCTCTCAAACAGAAAACACTCTGTTCCACCTTGTGATGTCATGTGGTAATACAGGAAGTACTCAACTGTGTTTTTAAACTCCAAACACCTTCACTAGGATCATTTACACTCCAGGAATTGCCAATCTCTCCTGAACTGAAGGTCAAAGGTAGCTCTTAACTTGAAAACTACAATTACATAACATCACAAGGTGGAACAGAACATTTTGAGTTTGGGCAATAGACTAATAAAAAGATTTCCTCAAACATGTGTAAATGAAAAAAAACAAAAAACATGATAACATGAAAAGTCATTAGGTTTTTCCAACAGAATTCATGCCTGAATGCTCCATTTGATGAAAATATGAATCAGTAAAATCCGTGTATCATTCCTTCATTCAATTTTGTGTTTAAATGAATAATGGAAAAAACAGATAACGTCCGTTTCCTGCTTCTGTGGCTTAAACTGCAATGCCAGACTTTTGCACTGCATACGGACTGAACCAGGACTGACCCAGGACTAAACTGGTCTCAGTCCTGGTTTGGTCCCGGTTTGGTCCCAGTCTCAGTTCTGGTCTGGTTTTGGTGTCAGTCCTGGTCTCAGTCCTGGTCTCAGTCCTGGTCTCAGTCTGGTCTCAGTCCTGGTCTCAGTCCTGGTCTCAGTCCTGGTCTTAGTCCTAGTCTCAGTCCTGGTCTGGTCCCGATCACGCGGCAGTCTACTCGGGCGCACCATCCCATTTAAGTCCTGTTTTAGGCCTGGTTCAATCCTGGTTTAGACCTGTTTTAGTCCTGGTTTAGTCCTGGTTCAGGCCGTATGTGGTGCAAAAGTCTGTTATCGCAGTTTAAGTCACGGAAACGGGAAAAGACCGTTATCTGTTTTTTCCAGTATTCATTTAACACAAAATTTTACACAAGATTTTACACAAAATCGAAAACTGAAAAAAACAAATCTTTATCCTTTTTTTCATTTTGGTTTTGGAGATAAATAATGAAGAAAATATATATATATTTTTACATGATCTTATTTTTGGTTTTATTTGGAAAAAAGAATGAACAAATGATGCACAGATTCAGTAATAATGCATCTGCCTTATACAACGCTTTTTAACATTATTCCCTGCAGCCAACACCAACACTCACACACACACCACATCCATACTAGGCAAGGAGGATTAAGTGTCTTGCCTAAGGACACAACAACTGTTTCCACTAGATCAATCCAAGTACAAACCAGGCTCAACCCTGCTTAGCTTCAGAGATCAGAAGAGATTGGGCATTCTGAAGTTAGTATGGCCTTAAAATATATTTGTTTTACTTCCTAGGCTACTGTAAAGAATAGTATTGCCCCATTCCTCACCAAAACAGCTCAAATAATGTTTATAAATGTCTAGACTTTGTTAGTTTTGGCTTTATCAAATGTTTATGTCTTGGGAGTGTCACTTTACCGCTACGCTCCATCGCCATTTCCCAACTCTAGCTTATCATTTAATTGCATCTGCAGTAGTTGTATTCTGGAGATATAAGCATCTTTTCTTGCTCTTTCTTTACCTGGGAGAGAAGAGGAGGGGCGGTACTCTCGAATGGGGGGTACAGAGATGAGAGCGCCCCCTGGACACAATCCTCCATGGCCTCGGAACCCTGTGAAACAAAAACAAATGTTAAAGTGCATATGACAGGTTTTCATGTTTCTCTCATTATTACTTGGTTTGGTGGGACAGTACCTGTGGTAAATATTCATCAGTTTTTGAAGGAAACATATTGTATTATATTCTGATCTATGTTATAATGTTGTTTCCTCATTAAAAATAAACCTGGAGTTGTGTTTTGTTTCAGTCACACATTAACACACAAATCCTGTATATTTAGGTTGAGTTCTTCTCTTGAACAGAAAACACTCCACACCACACTTCCACCTTGTGATGTCATGTGGTAATATAGTACGTAGGAGTGGGTATTCAATTACATTTTCTTAATCGATCGTCGGGAGCATTAATGATCAATTTAAGATTAATCATTAACATTTGTTCATTAAAATTATCCCGATTATTATTACTGTTACTAATCTGCATAAATAAACTCAACTTTACAACAACCATAACCACTCTAGAGCCACATCAGCCCGTTTGACATTATAATGTGTTTAATGCAGCTTTGTGCATATTTGTTTATGTTTTACAGAAACAAAACTTAAAACAGCATGGATAATTTGCATAAACTATGAAAAACAGCTCTTTCTTTGTGCGCAGATGCAGTTCAGCTTCTGTCGGACTAAAGGACATGACTCAGTGGAATATGTGTGTTCTCTCTGTGACAGAGGGATGATGATGATGATGATGGTGAGTCTGGTCTGTGTGTGTGTCACATTGGAGATGGTTCATGTTTTCAGAGATCAGGCGTGTGCAGGTTTAGCACAGCTCTTTATGTTGCAGTAACTAGGACACTGCAAATACATGCACCATGATGAAACCGGGACAGTGATGTGCATGTAAACACACTCATTGAGTGGTACAGTGTCTCCAAGGACGAGCCAGAGCCCAAACATGGGATTTTGAGGTCGAACTCCTGTGTTTGACACAGCCTCATCTCCTTACTCTACGTTACGCACAGCAACCCACATTCAGTCTGTCGATTAAAAATGAACGTGATCAATGAAAATCTTAATGATCAATTATCGATTAGTCGACTAATCATGCCCATCCCTAATAGGAAGTGTTCCATTGTGTTTTTAAAGTCCATACACTTTCACTAGAATGATTTGGATGATTCCAGCCGTGGAATTGCTCATCTCAACTGAACTGAAGGTAAAAGGTAGTTGTTAACATGAAAACTACTGCTACATGATTTTACAAGGTGGAACAGAACATTTTGAGATATGTGAATGAAACAAAACACAACTCCAAGTGTTTTTGAGGAGGTTACAGGAATCCAGCATGGCTTAAAGCTCACAAGAGTACACCTTAAGTACTACCTTAAGTGGTCCTTAAAGGTTTCCCACAAACCTTTAAGTGCCAGTTTGTGGGGGGAAAGTAGAAAAGTAAAATACAAAAATACAGGGATTTCAAAAATAGAATACAACTATGTCATCAACTCAGATTATTCCATCCAAAATGAATCGACAGTAAGAAAGGCACTGTTCTATTAAATGTAACTGTTAATATGACCTCTTCATATGTCATATCTGCTGCATGAAACTAAGGAGGAAATAAAATTATAAACTTCACCAAAATGGTCAAACTAGGGAAAACTAAGTAAGATTAATAGCGAAATTTAAAATAAAATGATGTGAAATATATAATAATGGTCTCATCTGTTATATGCAGTTACATTTTAAAAGTGGACATTGAAACGACAAGTGATTTTATCTGTGTTTCTTTCTGCTGACACAGGCACAGTTTTCACTTCCTCTTGTACAAAGTGGAGAGGGCCAAACATTTCCTCATGAGAACGTGAAATCGCAAAGAACAAAAGAGCAAAAACGTCACAGGAGACTGGCAGCACTACAGTAAAAGTTGTATCTGCCAAGCTTTGCAAGAGCAGTTAGATTAGCAATGTGTTTTAAAAGAATTCAGTTCACAGTGCACATTTTAACCTTTGTGCACCCCTTTAAAAATAGTTACACCTGTGGTCCTCCTGACAAAAATGTACATTGAAAAAGAATACCACAATATTTTTATGCAGTACTGATTTTTTTGTCCAACTTTTTCATATCAATGTCTTAATTTACTTCTGCTCTAATCATATATACCAAATACTATATAATATTGTGACATTTTAACCCTTTAAATGCCATTTTTGACAGCAAAAGTCAAACTTTTTTGTGCATGAAAAAAATGAAAGGAATGGATTATTTCTATATTTTTCAAATCATTTTAATTTGTTTGTGTTGGGGTTATCAGAGGTTGGGGTTGCCGTAAAATAGTGCCAACACTGATTTTTACATTCTTCTAGTTCTTGCACAAACGCAAATAGTTATACCTGTGGTCCTTTGTGGCAAAAATCGAAAAATAATACCACATATTTGTTTTCAACTTTTTTATATTATTGTCTTCGTTTACTTCTGCCCTAAACATACAAACCAAAGACAAACGTGTTTATATTGATATAACCTTGCAATGGAAGATCCACAGCAAAAAGAAAAAATATCAAAAAATTCTGAAGACACTAAAACTAAACATTTTGAATGGTTTTCAACACCAAAGAATGAAAAACAAATCAAAAAGTAAAAACATGCTGAGAAAGTTATGCCAGTAAAAAAAAGTCAATTAGAATGGAAGTCAATGGGACAAAAATGTACCTAAGGACCATGGGTGTGATTATTTTGATTATAGACTGTTCAATTAATGTGATCTTGAAATAAAACACAGAAATTAAAAATACATCACAAAATACACAAACTGGCCAATTTTGGTGCTATTTGGTGCAATATAGCCAAAGTTAAACACACCCAGGAATCTCAATACTTAAAAGATGCACCGTGTAACTTTTCAGTTGCGGGTCTATCACATTTTTTTACTATAGAGATGTCATTGCTCTGCTTGGAATGGCCCACAGTATGCTATTAAACAGCTCTACCTTACATTTATTCAATTACAGGTGGTTTATTGCTCAAAATATCTCGAAAAACATGCATTCTGACTGTGAGTGCGGTCATCTCTCCACAGATCTGACCTGTAACTTGGTCTGGTTTGGTCTCCATGAAGATAGAAACGTTTAAAGTCATACTCTGAGTTATTCTACAAGTCAGCTCTATTGTATTTTTGAGCAATAGAAACATCGACCTGTCATAGGCACTTAAATTGTGCTCATGGCGGTTTCCAGTTTGAAAAAGGCGTGCGGAAAATGGTGGTGAAAAACTTTCTCTCATACAGTAATACAACAGGGCTGGTCAATGGCAAGACAACATTGTTTATATTTTGAGCTGTCACCATGACCACTTCTTTTCCCCAAACTTCCAACATTTTTCTCTTTTTCCTTTTGTTTTCATCTGTCCACCTCCCCCGACGTCATCTGACAACAATTTGAACCAGACTCTTCCACAGAACTGAACTGTGTGAACTAGAGCAAGCCTCAGTTCTAGAAAGCAAAAACAAAACAAAAAAAACAAAACAAAATAAAGTGGAGATGAAAAAATGTAGAAAACCGTCCCCTATTCAGTTCACGTTATTAAAGATGCAAACGCTCATATGGTCATCATTTTATTTATGAACCAATTCTACCAAATAATTCATTCAACATTTTTGTAAGAGTCAAACAAACATAATTTACAACAGGAAATGTCAAACAAACCACCAGTTGTTTGGATGTTGTGTTAATATTTGTGATCATTTAGGTCATAATATAATCATCAGGAGTAAAAAGAAACTTTACTCATTGGGATTTTAGAAGCGAAAAAGAATTTTAAGTCAATTCAATGTATTTTTTCAAAAAGTAAACGCCTGGCTGTTTATTTTATCACATTAAAGGGCTCATATTACGCAATTTTCTGATCCATGTTCCATTCACACAAGTTTAACACACAAATCCTGCATATTTAGGATGAGTTCTTCTCTCAAACAGAAAAACACTCTCTGTTCCACCTTGTGATGTCATGTGGTAATACAGGAAGTCAGAGTTGGGGACTTGCAAGTAGTGACTTGGACTCAAGTCAGACTTGAGTCACTATTTTTAGGACTTGATAAAGACTTGGGACTTGACTTGGATTTGAGGCCTGGGACTTGAGAAGACTTGATGCTTAGACTAGTTGACAAATGAACTGTTTTAAGCACTCTTAAATCTGAACTCTTTCTGTTCTGACTGTAATAATTTGCACTTTTGCACATTTAAAAAGGAAAAATTTGCATTTTTACAACTCTTATATAAATACTCATGTACCACAACTTTTTAAGTACAATTTAGTTAAAAAAATATATAAATAGCAAAATTTTAAGGCTAAGTTATATTTGGTTCTTTTGTTTAAAGACTTGAAATGACTTGAAGCTCAAAGCAGACGACTTGGACTTGACTTGGACTTATGGGCCAGTAACTCGAGACTCGACTTGCACTTGCCTGTATTTGACTTGTGACTTGACTTGGACTTGAGGTCAAAGACTTGAGACTTACTTGAGACTTGCAAAACAACAACTTGGTCATAACTCTGCAGGAAGTGCTCCAGTGTGTTTTTAAACTCCATACATATAAGTTAAAAAGTAGCTGTTAACTTGAAAACTACCAATTTATGACATCACAAGGTGGGACACAGCATGTTGAGCTTTGGAGATGTAGACAGACAAACAATAAACCCAAATGCGAGTGACTGAAACAAAAACACACACAAGTTAACAACATTCGAACATGTCTTAAAACTCATAAGAATCAATTTTGTGTAATCAAGGACCTTTTATTAAACTTAATGAAGTAAGCCTAACTGTGTAATAGATACAATAATCAATAATAAATATATGAATATGATAAGCACCCTCACAATCCATTTGAGAGTTTGACATCATGACTTTTAGGAATATGCAAAGAGTTGGGAATGGAGAAAACTTGGTGTGTATGGAACAATGAAATTGGGAAAATGTACGGGAAAGTGTACGAGAGGAGCCAGGAGACAAATGCTGTGCACAAATGAGTTTTGAGTTTTGTTTTTCAGGCTCAGG